TTAATATCTATTCTATAACTACTGTAGTACTACCATTGTCGGGATATGTCTGTTTAATATCTATTCTACAACTACTGTAGTCGGGATACGTCTATTTAATATCTATTCTACAACTACTGTAGTCGGGATACGTCTGTTTAATATCTATTCTACAACTACTGTAGTCGGGATACGTCTGTTTAATATCTATTCTACAACTACTGTAGTACTACCATTGTCGGGATACGTCTGTTTAATATCTATTCTATAACTACTGTAGTCGGGATACGTCTGTTTAATATCTATTCTATAACTACTGTTGTACTACCATTGTCGGGATACGTCTGTTTAATATCTATTCTATAACTACTGTTGTACTACCATTGTCGGGATACGTCTGTTTAATGGTTTTGTTCCTGTTTTGATATCGTTAAGCACATGCCTTGATCGATTTTTATAAATGTGCTGTCATGACTTACGAAATAATGACTTAGTATCACTGTCGAGTCCTACAAGGACATTTGTTGGATACATTTTAATTCATTGTGTATCTCTACTGTATCATGCTCAAATTTGCACATAAAGGTGATATCCACTTTTGTGTCTTTTTTCAGTCTTCGAAAGCGCAAAAGTTAGACACTGCTGGTGGACTTTTAGTCCTGAAATTTGCCATTACCTGCATGCCATGTTTTAATTCATAAACATGTACTTGACGTTCTTCTAAAAGTATCAGGTACATTGTATATGCAAATAATTTCAAATAAAACCTGTATTTTAGAGTATTTTCTGTAATACAAAGAGCACCGCTGCATTCTTGTATAAATAAATATATATAGTGACAATGTTCGCATATCATGTTTGTTTTCAAACAAAAGTACATGATTTGTAATGATGCTACCTGCACCAGCATGGCCTTACGACTTTTTTGGTTTTCCCCAGCTCAGTTTGTGCACTCGGTTTTAAACTGACTGTAAGCTTTGTAACATTTTGCCGTCCCCTGTTTTAGATAATCCAGGAAACAATATAATTGGGGTTCAGACGAAAACGAATATTTAAAAAAAAAAAAAAATACTGTCCTAGCCTGCCTATGTCACGCCTGCCGTTCCGAAACTGTTTAATTTATTCTTGGTTCAAAGGGAGGTAATCCTTACAACATCCTGTCTACTGAGCGCAGTTTGTCAATACAGATTAAGTATCTACTCAAACTACAGAACAGATGGCCGAGCTAATCTGGTGAGGTAATGTAACGTCTGTCAGTATGATTCAACGTTATGTTCCATCTATACAAACACGACTGTCTTAATTTGATTCTATAGCTAAATACGTCGCCTCTAATATCCATTGTAAGTCAATAAAAAGATCTCTGAGGTTTACGGGAGAGCCGTAATTAGTTTATATGCAAATGTGCTATGAAGAAAAGATAAACTAGCTCCAAGTGTTTTATATACATTGGTTATGTCCGAGAGATTCTGAACATGTTCAGCAGGAATGGAATATACCATTTTGCTAAAAACCACCACCCACTACCAATTCATTCTGTTGACATGAAACTAAAGATGACATTTTAAATGTTGAGGAATATCTTTTTTCTTAATCCACTTAATTGGGTTTATTTCTCCTCCCCAACATAATTACTGTCGCCAAATTTAATTAAAATTTGCGTAAAAGCATTATCTCCTTGCGATGCCCCTCCAGTCCAAAAATCTCCCATTTTCATTTGATTGTCCCTTCTCAAGGATGTTAACCATTTGGAGTTGTTTGCTATTTCGGGCTGTAAAACTCTAAATTTCCTTTTGGAAATTCATTTCATGTAACACAACTAAATGCGTTTAAGCGATACATGCACAAAATGTATACGAATGTCTTCTTCTAAGAAGTTTAAAATTTAGTAAAGATTTGCCGAATGGTTTTGGAGGAGTAGTGATTAAAAAATAAATCCACTATTTCTTTTTAATGTTCTAGCTCCGCCCATCCCTGGATGCCTAACAAATTCGTTTATACAAGATAGATCACTATTCCCTGATTAAGGTTTCAGATGAAATTTGTTTTAACTCTTCCGCATTTTAAATCAATACCATTTTCCCCATTTTGTTTTGGTGTAGTGTGTTTTTTAACACAAATACATTGTTTTCTGTTGGGTCGACCGTTTGATAAATATAAGGAAAATGCTAATTCTTTTGAACATTTGTAGGAATTAGAAAATGTGTGTGAGACAATAATACCCCGATACCATACATTTGTAATTATCAGTGTTAGATCTAACACTTCCATAAGTGTAAGCAGAAATAGAAATCAATGGTTGGCCTACTGGAATGCTCTTCCACGTATTTAACTTGTTGGATCCGTTTTCATTTACACTGTTCTCATCTGATAACGTGACATTACTTACTTGGATTGACCAAGGTTTACATGACAGGTGTCGTGGATGAAACAGTAGATGCTTTATCTTCCTGAACACTTGATCTTATTCGCCTGGTAATCTTTCATAAGTCTCTGTGTAGATATTTCTTTTGTTCATATTTTGCCCTGGTTTAAATATCTCTTGACATGTAGTTACTTTCTTCATTGTGGTGACGTGGAACTGACAGGAGGTAGAAACATGTCATCATACTGAGTTTGGTACTGACGGGAGGTAGAAATAAGTCATCATACTGAGTTTGGTACTGACAGGAGGTAGAAACATGTCATCATACTGAGTTTGGTACTGACAGGAGGTAGAAACATGTCATCATACTGAGTTTGGTACTGACAGGAGGTAGAAACATGTCATCATACTGAGTTTGGTACTGACAGGAGGTAGAAACATGTCATCATACTGAGTTTGGTACTGACAGGAGGTAGAAACATGTCATCATACTGAGTTTGGTACTGACGGGAGGTAGAAACATGTCATCATACTGAGTTTGGTAATGACGGGAGGTAGAAACATGTCATCATACTGAGTTTGGTACTGACGGGAGGTAGAAATAAGTCATCATACTGAGTTTGGTACCGACAGGAGGTAGAAACATGTCATCATACTGAGTTTGGTACTGACAGGAGGTAGAAACATGTCATCATACTGAGTTTGGTACTGACGGGAGGTAGAAACATGTCATCATACTGAGTTTGGTACTGAAAGGAGGTAGAAACATGTCATCATACTGAGTTTGGTACTGACAGGAGGTAGAAACATGTCATCATACTGAGTTTGGTACTGACGGGAGGTAGAAACATGTCATACTGAGTTTGGTAATGACGGGAGGTAGAAACATGTAATCATACTGAGTTTTGTACTGACATACTGAGTTTGGTACTGACAGGAGGTAAAAACATGTAATCATACTGAGTTTGGTACTGACAGGAGGTAGAAACATGTCATCATACTGAGTTTGGTACTGACATACCGAGTTTGGTACTGACAGGAGGTAGAAACATGTCATCATACTGAGTTTGGTACTGACAGGAGGTAGAAACAAGTCATCATACTGAGTTTGGTACTGTAGAAAAAGGAGTTTGGTTGACAGGAGGTAGTCATCATACTGAGTTTGGTAAACATGTCATCATACTGAGTTTGGTACTGACAGTTTGTATTAACATGTCATCATACTGAGTTTGGTTCTGACAGGAGGTAGAAACATGTCATCATACTGAGTTTGGTACTGACGGGAGGTAGAAACATGTCATACTGATACTGAGTTTGGGTCATCATACTGAGTTTGGTACTGACGGGAGGAAACATGTCATCATACTGAGTTTGGTACTGACAGGAGGTAGAAACATGTCATCATACATGAGTTTGGTACTGACAGGAGGTAGAAACACTGTCATCATACTGAGTTTGGTACTGACAGGAGGTAGAAACAATGTCATCATACTGAGTTTGGTACTGAGTTCAGTCCAAAAAAGGTACAATGCACAACTGACAAGGGGGAGGTAGAAACATATAGTCATCATACTGAGTTTGGTAACACGGGAGGTAGAAACATGAAACATGTCATCATACTGAGTTTGGTACTGACGGGAGGTAGAAATAAGTCAACATACTGAGTTTGGTATTGACAGGAGGTAGAAACATGTCATCATACTGAGTTTGGTACTGACGGGAGGTAGAAACATGTCATACTGAGTTTGGTCAACATACAGAGTTTGGTACTGACAGGAGGTAGAAACATGTCATCATACTGAGTTTTGGTACTGATGTAGAAACATGTCATACTGAGTTTGGTACTGACGGGAGGTAGAAACATGTCATCATACTGAGTTTGGTACTGACGGGAGGTAGAAACATGTCATCATACTGAGTTTGGTACTGACGGGAGGTAGAAACATGTCATCATACTGAGTTTGGTACTGACGGGAGGTAGAAACATGTCATCATACTGAGTTTGGTACTGACGGGAGGTAGAAACATGTCATCATACTGAGTTTGGTACTGACAGGAGGTAGAAACATGTCATCATACTGAGTTTGGTAATGACAGGAGGTAGAAACATGTCATCATACTGAGTTTGGTACTGACGGGAGGTAGAAACATGTCATCATACTGAGTTTGGTACTGACAGGAGGTAGAAATAAGTCATCATACCGAGTTTGGTACTGACGGGAGGTAGAAACATGTCATCATACTGAGTGTGGTACTGACAGGAGGTAGTTAAGAAAGACAATGCAAATACAAACATGGATTCAGATTTAATGTCATGAAATAAATATAATCATACTCAATAATACACTAAAACATATTTGTTAAATATAAATTAAACAAGTTTCTAAAATAATTCTGTACAGAATACTTCATTCATATAAACAAAAATATAAACTACAATCATTCTGTCTTTAAACAGTAGCAGACAAACATACAAATCCTATATACCAGAAATTTTTCTACAGTTCACTGCTTCATCATTTTATCAACAGGCAATAAATAAAAGGGGATAAACATGTAGTTTGAAGTAAAAGCTGAAATATATGTTTTGATGTGTTTTGAGTTGATTTTAACTTTTGGCAAAAAAAAAAAATTTCTTTTAAATATTTCCCTACAAACTATATTCTAAGTCAGAACAAGAGTACCGCAAAGCGGAACAAAATACGCCCGTGAATATCCGAAACGGCAAAGGGGCATAACTCTTACTCAAATCGTCTAATCAAAAACCCGTTCAGGAAAACATAATTTCATATCATGGTGATTAAGCCTACCAAGTTTCATAAAGATCGGCTGAAAAATGTTGGAGGAGATCTCCTGACAAGATTTCTATAGTGAAATAAACAAAGGGGCATAACTCTTGTTGAAATCACCAAATCAAAACCCCATTCAGGAAAACACAACTGCATATCATGGTGATTAAGCCTACCAAGTTTCATAAAGATCGGCTGAAAAATATAGGAGGAGTTCTCCGGACAATTAAAGTTTAGGACAGATGCCGGATGGACGGACAGTGCCATACCATAATACGTCCGTCTTTTGACGGGCGTATAAAAATCATGCGACTTGGTCATGGTACACAGAAAACTTCGACAACAACCAAAGAACTCTATCCAAAAGCAAAAGAAAAATAACATGTACTGTTGTCTGTTTGAAAGAAACATAGATAATGGTGTTTAAAAAATCTAAACCATAATTCATGGTAAATAAGCAAAAAAAAAAACATTCCAGATCCAAACAAAACTCTCTTCCATCCTCAAAGAAACACTTTAATTATCACAATGTTCCTCATCATGTTACTTATCACGCATATATATGTTTTTTTGTTTGCACCAGACAACATTCATATCCTCCCTTGCACTCATTCTTCTCCTCAGGTTTCACACACTGACACCCCCTTCAAGTAACTGTAAAGTCCTTCTGAAGTTTCACACACTGACACACCTACAAATGACTGTATGGTCCAAAGCTACAGATAGCTTGTTTAGTTTATATCTACAGGTAAAAATAACTTTCATAATTTTGTGGTAAAGGTTTTCCTTTGAACTAATCAGCAGGCCTCTGTTGAAGAAATCAACACAAAGTCTTACCATCATCATTTAATTTATGTAATGAATTTAACTGTCTATTACACTCACTATAATCATAGTATGTTTCCTTTTATATTTGCGTTATATTGTCTTCCACTGTATCCCTGTGAGACAATCTCCACTATCACCTCTCCGTCTTATAAATACTGTTTTAGTGATCCTGTATCTAGCTGTATCACTGTAGAACTTGATACAGCGTGATAGTGTATCCCTATAAGAGGTAGTGATCCTGTATCTAGCTGTATCACTGTAGAACTTGATACAGCGTGATAGTATATCCCTGTAAGAGGTAATGATCCTGTATCACTGTAGAACTTGATACAGTGTGATAGTGTATCCCTATAAGAGGTAGTGATCCTGTATCTAGCTGTATCACCGTAGAACTTGATACAGCGTGATAGTATATCCCTGTAAGAGGTAATGATCCTGTATCTCATTACCGATCACACCATCACCAACCTACATCAGCTACCACTGGAAATCAGCCTCCGATCCATCATTACTGGAAATATAAAAATCATGTTAAGCAGAAGTTGGTCATCATGGACTGAAGAATTTATTTTTCTACTGTGTTTTCTTTAAACCACTCTAAAATATAAATACTTAACATCATTTATTTATTTTTTTTGTCTAAAAGTTTTTGATTTGAGATTTTAAAGCTACAAATTATGTTTATATATAATTTTTCCTAAACATAAAGAGGTATCTGTAATGCTGTATACATGTAGTACACTGATTTAGAAAAAAGTCTGGAAGATATGAAAGAGAAAGTAAAATGTTAACATGATTTTCATTGTCTGCCAAGTTTTTATAAATACTAAGACTGACATTAACTCCCTCAGTAAATGGAGTTGCTATAGCAAATATGATTGTAATTTAATACAGTTTATGCTTATCTATAAACAATATTGGTTGCTTTGACCTTGGAACCTTGGAATATTTTACAAATAAATTTTGAAAAGTTTTTGAATTATGTACTATCAGACAAACATTGGCAACAATTATCCAAGACACATCCATTGCTGATAACTCTTACCTGTGAACGTCAGCTCCAGACATTTCCTGTTCTGACTGGGACACAGTGTCCTGTCATATCAAGGGAGACAATCAATATCAATTCAAAGTAGACAATCATTCTCAAATCAAATGATATACTTATCTATCACCCACTATTTACTCAATGACATACTCTTTATCTTTTAAATAGATTTGATCTCTTTTAGGTTATTGTAATAGAATAAGAAATAAACAGTTTTATCATGTTATGTTTCACATTTAACATAATCCAACTTTGAAACTTACTGCTTGTGAAAGTTGTCTCCCCTTAGACCAGGTGTCAGTCGCTTTTTTGGCAAGCTAAAACCACAAGAGAAAATGATGTTGACAGAAGAATCTAGAACACAAACAAAGGTGTAAACTACCTACAGAGACTGTGCTTAGAGGTTTAATTACTGTACTCTAGTAATTCCAGCAATATATGAAAAGAACTTGCTCCTAGGACTAGGATGTGTACCATACTTGCTGAACTTCCTTATTTTTGGAAGGAGACCAGTGTTTTTACCTATTGTTGATGTACTTCCTCATTATGTATTCTGATATCTGCCTCTTACAAAACAAACACTAAATCTATTGTATAAAATAGTTATCATTGAAATACCACAACTTTATGAATAAAGGATCATTGTCTATTGTTTGAAATGTGACAAATTCAAGGATGAAGTAAAGTAGAATAGTATATTTCATTCCAAAACATTTTATTCCTGGTAAAAAAAATCAAACAACTGGCATAGCCTATATAATATATAGTTATCTAAGATACAAATTAGACATTCTAGCCTACTTTATTTTGTATGTTTTCTTCAGTGGTACATAATGTGTTGAGCTATGACACAAGAACAACAGACTGAACTGAACAGTCCTCATTTGGTACAAACATTTATGAGCTGGATTGAATTACTAATTTACCAAAGCCTGACTTTACAATTTATCTAACTAGAACTGTGTTGATACTAGTAAAGTTTTCTTTAAATAGATGGTGACTATCATTTTTTCTTATATGAATAAACAAGATATCCCAGGACTCACTTCATTAATTTATCAGGTCTGATTAAATCTTTTCCATTCTTTTCCCTTCTATCATCTTATTTGCTCAGAACACTGAATATTGGGCATAAGACACAAAAGAAAGCCTACAAACATAGACCTCACTGGTTCTTAGAGACACAAGAACAAACTTTAACTGTCAATCAGTCCCAGAACAATGGGAAACTAGACCAATGTCGAGGAAGGGCCCCGCATAATACCTACCCCTTATGATTGAGTTTCTTAATATTAAGAAATATATGGACAGGTGTCAAGTATTGAAAGCAACTTTCATCAAAATCCAATGAAAATGGACAGATGGACAGATATATGGATCGACGGACAGGGAAACGGACGGACAGACGGACAGACGGACAAGGTGATTACTATAGGGCACCCACATCGCGATGCGGGGCCCTAACTATAAATGAAATCTGACAAAGATCCATCCAGCACTACCTCAGAGAGTCTGTGATAACAAAATCTTGAGTAAAAAAATCCAATATGGTTGTCTTTCGTACATAATATCATTCCAATCAATCCCAATATACAAAATGCATAAATAGATATCAAGGGCAACCTAATCATGAAATTTTCAGAATTATTCGTCCAGTGCTTCTCCAAAAATAATGATAAGAAACTATACATGGCAAAATGAAAGATGCCCGTCTGTCAGGCTTTTTAATTTTCTGATCTGTCTCCAAAACACTTTACTAGGTCCAAGAGGCACCTAGTATATAATATTATGATTCACCCAGTACTTCTTCAGAAATAGTGATAACAAGAAGTTTGTAAGTACAAAAGATAAACCACATATAAAGGGCTATTTGGACAGCCCACCATCTGACAGGCTAAATATCTGGACATATTGAACTGTGACAAGCCTTGCTCAAGTTCTGATAATATCAAAAAGTGACAACTATATTCTTCTGTGACATGTTTTGGATGAATTAACCAGTGATTATCTAAATCCTGTGTCAGAGTTGTTTATGTGGTATTACAGTAGACAGTAGTGAAAATAAATTCAATGAACTTAACCATGCAAGTGGACTTCAAATTAAAACATACACATTAAATGATCTGATATATGTGGATCCAATTCAGGCCTGATGAAATAAAATGTACCTTGTGCAAAGTGATTTTAAAAGTATGTACAGTTAAAGTCAAAATCAGCCTGTGAAAAGAAATTATAAAATTTTCAATATTCATATCCATATTCAGCGACCATTACAATCTGCAATATCATGTATCTTCCTGTCTTTATATTCTTCCTTGTACAACAATATTTTAGTGAAAGAATTCCAATAATTAGTTTTAGCCAATCAATATTGAGAACTAGACTCCCTCACCTGCTTTACATTATAACATCACAACAATCAAGTGACCTGTTATTGTTGGATTGTTTAATGTTGAGGTAAGTGCTTCACCGAGTCTGTCATCAAGGTATTATATCACATAAAACCTAGTATGTATCACTTAGAAACAACATTAACTGTGGCCTAAAATTCAGATGACCTTTAACCCTTGACTTACAGAGAAATGACCTGTGCCCTCTCACGATAAAAGTGCCTAAAATATCAGAAGTGTGTAACTGTTCAATGATGGAAGTGGTGAAAGCATGAAGCACACTGAGTATATATAATGGAGACATGTTTTTACCTTTCTTGGCTGTACAATACAAAAACAAAACACAATTTACTTGTACTCTCTTATCTTACCAACATCACTTCATATGACCACACGGAACCAAGTGTCGGTTTCTGTTTATATACATTTTAACAAAGTTTGACATAAAAGACAAGAGTTTAACAGACCCAGCCACTGGAAATATTTTTTTTGTACATTCTTACAAAATAAAACAACTTTGAAAGACTAATGTCTTGTAGACTTGAAAAGAAATTTTCATTTACCGTTGAAACTCATCTCGAAATCGCTTGAGTCGAAATTTTGTTTGAGTCGAAATAATTTTCAAGTCCCAATTTTTTTCACTTCTATATGTTTGTAATTTTAGTTCGCATGACTCAAATTTCATTGAGTCAAAATTTCTGTTGAGTCGAAGCAATTTTTTAGTCCCTTCAATTGTAAAGCAAGCAAAAAGTAATTTGTTTCTTGAAATTAATTTTTGTCAAAACATCGACACATCAAAACATCCCTGTCCCTGTCTCACCTCCATCAAACCTAGACTTGGGCTACTGACCAATAACCCTGTCCCTGTCTCCTCTACATCACACCTCGACCTGGACTTCTGACCTGGAACATTGTCCTTGTCTCATCTCTCTCACACGTAGACTTGGGCTACTGACTGATAACCCTGTCCTTATCTCATCTCTATCACACAAAGACCTGGACTACTGACCAATAACCCTGTCCCTTTCTCACCTCTATCACACCTAGACCTGGGCTACTGACCAATAACCCTGTCCCTTTCTCACCTCTATCACACCTAGACCTGGGCTACTGACCAATAACCCTGTCCTTGTCTCATCTCTATCACACCTAGACTTTGGCTACTGACCAATAACCCTGTCCATGTCTCACCTCTATCACACCTAGACCTGGGCTACTGACCAATAACCCTGTCCTTGTTTCATCTCCATCACACCTAGATTTGGACTACTGACTGATTACCCTGTCCATGTCTCATCTCTATCACACCTAGACTTGGGCTACTGTCCAATAACCCTGTCCATGTCTCATCTCTATCACACCTAGATTTGGACTACTGACTGATTACCCTGTCCCTGTCTCATCTCTATCACGCCTAGACTTGGGCTACTGACTGATAACCCTGTTCTTGTCTCATCTCTATCACACCTAGACTTGTGCTACTGACCAATAACCCTGTCCCTGTGTCATCTCTATCACACCTAGACCTGGGCTACTGACCAATAACCCTGTCCCTTTCTCACCTTTATCACACAAAGATCTGGGTTACTTGGTAATAACTCAAAATGCTCACCTCTATTAAACCTATTCCAGGGATATTGACTGACAACTCTGACCTTGGATTACTGACCAACAGAACTCCTCTTGGTTTATTGACAACCCTACACCAGGGAAATTGAAGGACAACACTAACTCTACCTCACCTCTTTCTCTCTTTCCTTTTGCTGAGCCACCATAGCCATGTATTGTTTCATTGTCGGATCAATTCCATCATCATCTTTTTCTTGTTTTTTGGCTGGTTCTGGCTCTTGATCATCTTCAAAGTCTGCTGACCCTCCCTACAAAGATATAAACTAGTAAGTAGGGTATATCAGCCTTGTCACATATTAGCTAGCATCAACATCTTCTTTGTTCTCTACATTACTTTTTCTGCATATTAACATCACATGCATGTCTACAGGTAGTAGTGTACCTTGCCCTGTCCTTTTCCCATCTTCGTTATTAACTGCTACCAGTATACAGGTATGTATGCCTACCTTTCCCTGTTCTTTTTCTATCCTCGTTATTATCTGTTACCTGTATACAGGTAGGTATGCCTACCTTTCCCTGTCCTTTTCCCATCCTCGTCATTAACTGTTACCTGTATACAGGTATGTATGCCTACCTTTCCCTGTCCTTAATCCATCCTCGTTATTAACTGTTACCTGTATACAGGTATGTATGCCTACCTTTCCCTGTCCTTAATCATCCTCGTTATTAATTGTTACCTGTATACAGGTATGTATGCCTACCTTTCCCTGTCCTTTTCCCAACCTCGTTATTAATTGTTACCTGTATACAGGTATGTATGCCTACCTTTCCCTGTCCTTTTCCCAACCTCGTTATTAATTGTTACCGGTATACAGGTATGTATGCCTACCTTTCCTTGCAGTCTTTCTAGTTCTCTTTGCTCTCTTTCCCATGCTTCTTCTTCTTTCTTTTTTCTCTCGGCTTCCTTTTTCTTTCTCTCCTCCTCCCACTTGTCTTCATCTGCTGAGTTTTCTACTTCTTTCACGGCTAAATGAAATACAAAGTAAACATAACAACAATGTTTAAAAAACAATCAAGATAATGCAAAGTGTGATATTATCCCTGCACCTACTGTTTAAAAGAAAGACATACAACCATATATATATGTTAATATTACACAAGTTTAACTTCTCCTTGTTATTTTTAGTTGTTCCATACAATGTATCGAAATGGAGAAGTTCTACTTACATACTAGCTTGATGCCTGTACAAAGTTTTGAGTAACAGGTTATTTCACTGAACAGATTAAGAGAACTGGTCTGAAAAATCTGAACTTTGCGATTTGGTCTGTTTCCATGGAGGGATGCATGGAGCCCAAATAAATATCCCCCACAAACTGGTTTCGCTGGGGACAGACAGATGCGTGGAGGGATGCATGGAGCCCAAATAAATATCACCCACAAACCGGTTTCGCGGGGGACAGACAGATGCATGGAGGGATGCATGGAGCCCAAATAAATATCCCCCACAAACTGGTTTCGCGGGGGACAGACAGATGCGTGGAGGGATGCATGGAGCCCAAATAAATATCACCCACAAACTGGTTTCGCGGGGGACAGACAGATGCATGAAGGGATGCATGGAGCCCAAATAAATATCACCAACAAACCGGTTTTGCGGGGGACAGACAGATGCATGGAGGGATGCATGGAGCCCAAATAAATATCACCCACAAACTGGTTTTGAGCACAAGGTTTATATCCAACATATATAAGTAATATAACAGTATGAAATTTTCATATCATTAACATACCATAAAAGTGATAGAAAAATAAATTCATAACATCAAGATATACAAACCTGTTTGTGATTTCCATGCATCCTCCAAGGAAGGAGTCTTCCAGGCATCATCCAGTGAAATTGGAGCGAGTTTTCCCCGTGGTGGGGGTCTACTAGGTGTGGCTGGGGGATCCTGACTGATTGGGGCGAGTTTGGGGCCACCCAACGGTGGTAGTGGACTTGCCTTTCCCTGGTCAGTATCTGCAGAGAACATCAGTATTGTCAGTATACAGTCCAAAAGTGTTTAAGACATTTCACTTATTCATACAGATACCTCAAAGACAAACTTGATATATAGCATTTCCAAACATGGGGCCCATGAACACTGATGGTCATCCGACAATGAAGACCTATACATGAAAGAGGCAAAATAGGCTTAAAATGAATTGCTCAACTAATATACAGCTTACATAGAAGACATTGTTGGTTCATCAAGACATTTTCTGCAAACTTGACATCACATTCTTTATACATGCACTACACGGTTGCCATTACTCAGGATGTATTGCTTGTTGAAAAAGCAAGCTACAGGCCAACTATCAAGACCCTTGACCTTTTCGTTACTAAGAATAAGTTGCATAAGCATTTCAACACATTTGACCCCTGTGACTTTCAAACTTGATTAAATATCAGCTCCCTGGGTCTTTTGGTTATTGAGTAGAAGTCATTTAAACACATTGGATACCAGTGACCTTGAAAGTGGGTTAATGTCATTCATATTAACAAAAGTAGCCCTTAATCCTAGCATGCTATAGGCCTAATATCATTATCCTTGGCTTTTGGTCATTAAGAAGAAGTCATTTGAAGACTTGAACACATTTGATCACTGTGACTTTTCAAGCAGATCAAGGTCATTTCTATTTACTAGGGGTTGATTCAACTTCCTGATATTCAGAAATGATTCCCCACTCTCCATGATGTTTTAAACTAAATTTGGTTGAAATCCATTCAAGCATTTAGAAAGAGTAGCATTTTGAAGTGGAATCTTGTCTAACTTCTCCTTTTGGGGCCCCGTCCCAAAGTCCCTATGGTCAAATGAACTTTTAGAATTTAAGAAATGATTCTCCACTCTCAATGATTTTTTCAGACCAAATTTGGTTGAAATCCATTCAAATATTAAAAAGGAGTAGCATTTTGAAGCAAAATATTGTCTAATTTGCCCTTTTGGGGCCCCAACCCAAGTCCCTAGTGGTAGAATCAACTTTTTGAAGTTCAGAAATGATGATCCACTCCTAATGATGTTTCAGACCAAATTTGGTAAAAATTCATTCAAGCATTAAAAAGAAAAAGTTTAAGCACAATGCACGGAAGGTGGTGCACTAAGACAGACTAAGCACGATGGCTAAAAGAGGCCCATGGATCCTACCCGTCACGACTCTGGACAGTTTTAGAGTCTGTCTATCAGTCCCAGCATCAGGGCAGACAGAACAGAACTAATATATGCATACTTACATAGTTTTTATTCTTCCTGAAGGTTTAATTTCAATAAAACAGAACTGATAACACTGTTTGTTGTTGTAGTTTAGCATATTTGACCCCTGTGATGTTGGTCCAATATCATGACCCTGGGTCATCTGGTTATTGAGGAGTCATTTAAAGATTTTAACACAATTGACTTTGAAAATAGGTCAAGGTCATTAATTTGGACCAACTTGGAAGCCTTCCATCCTACCATGCTTCTGGCCTCATATGATGACTCTGGGTCATTTTGTTATTGAGAAGAACTCAATATTGTAAATTGTTACAATGCAGACGACAGATGAAGGACACTGGACAAAAGGCAATCGTTCGCTTGAGACTTCCATCTCAGGTGACCTGGTAAAAATGGAAGTTCTCCAAGCCCGACACATGAAATATCTGAGACAGTACAACATACAGAAATTCAAAAAGGAAATGTTCACTTTGTGGTTTGATTACATTTGAATATTCAATAAGTCTTTATTACTTCATCTGTACATGACAGAGTTACCTACCCCTGACTGCGGGTGTGTTGTCCTCGCTTGATGCTCCAGATGCTGGCACCACCATAATACTTGGTGACCCTGGCCTGGCCTCGAGGTCAGACATTGTGATTGGTCGCGGCTTCTCTATCCTTTCATCTTGATGGCTAGACAAGAAGGTTGTGTTACAAAAAGGTCAGTAGTTTATGTTCTCGAATATCTCAGAAATATGTTTGGCAAAGAATAGAAATTCTCTTGTTTTGTTCAACGAAGAATAGAAATTCTGTCGTTTTTGTAGTATTTTCAATTTCTGTTACTCTGAAACCAATACCTACAGGTGATATGTAAGACTTCGCACCTTGATCGACATTGGCAACTGTTGAGTTATGAAACATGAAGTAGGATACTTACTGTTCACCCTCATCAGACATGTTGGAAATGTCAAACCTTGGGGGAGGGTGCTCTCTATCGCGGGAACCTGTCAGCTCATGTAGACTGTCTGTAACATGTCAAGTTTAAATACCAGAAGTAGATTAAATTGATATACTTTAAAAAAAGCATTTAGGAAAATACAGAGCAATATCTTGGAAGTTTCAATATTTATGGAAGTTTCAGTTTTTCTCACCTGCCAGCTGAGAGGAGCCCCGAGCTGTCTGTTGGTATGGAGTGGATGACATAGGGCGATGGATTGGACTTTCTCCAGGGGATGCCACAATCTCTACCTTCTTTTGGCCTGTCAATTAAAATGTAAATTTAGTTTTTATTTTGTAAAGTGGAAGGGGTTCAATACTTGAATATGACATTAATTTATCTTTTGTTTCAATTGTTTTCAATATTACATCCCACTTGCTTATCTGAGGAAAATGGAGCTAAGAGAATGACCTTGAAGTTTATGTGTAAATAATATCATAAAAATGTAAATGGAATAATCTTGAAATCATAGAGAAAGATTTTGTTCTGTAAGAAGGTCGCAAAATTGTTTAGAATAATCTCAAAATCTATCAAAGAAATTGATGTTTTTCTACACAGAATAACATGAAAATGTTTTTAAATGATAAAAATGTCAAAGAGAATGACTTTCTTCTACTTTTAATAAAATAAAAAAACACAAGTGACACCTACAATTTCAGATACAATAACAAATATCTGTAACTGAAATAAGCCAACCTTTTTATTACACCCTGAGTTATGTATACATAGCCATTTTCATTAGCATAAGATCAATTTTTGATCTTTTACTTATATACATAATCCCAATCACAGCAAGACACAAAATACACCTACTTGGCCTGTCCTGCGGGGCTGACTGCTGGCTCCCCCTAGGGGTTCTACTAGGTTCATTATCAGTCACTGGGTTGATCATCTGATACTGGAAATCTCTGTACACCTTCTCAAGGTTCTGAAAAAGCAGCTCACAGGTATACACTGGTTCTCATTTCATATGAGATTTCATGAAACAAATATGAAATTATTTATTCTTGTGAGCCTTGGCAAGCAAAATAAAAAATCTCATATGAAATGAAAACTCATTTAAGATCGTATATTTATCACAGAATAACAAAATTAATTGGATAACAGGGCGATCATGTAATTTAGTCAATCATCATACATATTTCTATTACTGTAAACAAATTCATGGATAACAGCCCAAACAATACCTAGTGACCCGTGAATTGAGGGACTACTTAAAGTGATGCAAACGGAATAACAAGCAATCATAAACATAGAATCTCTGCAAAGTTTACATGGATATTATTGTAGTCGAGGTCACATGAAACTTTATCTAAAACATAGCCAGGGGACTTTCAAACGTACCGAAGCCTCTTTCTCAAGACTGCGGAGTCTGTATTTAGCCTCAGCCACAATATCAGCTGATCCTAAGGACCCGTTATCCTGGTCATCTTCTGACAGATCTGTATACATCTTTCCACCATTAGAGGGCAGTAAACCAAAGTCTACATCGATATCGTTGTACACATCATTGTCCTCAAACCTGGGTCGGCGTGACGTTCGACGTGGACTGGAAACATTAAGTCTGGAGGCAAGTTCTGTTGCAGGTTTCTGAAGATTATCATCATTCTCCTCATTGTCTGGTAGTTGTCTGGATGTGTAGAGAGATCCACCACGACTATGTAGGGATTAACAAATTCTTATCAAAAAAACAAATAAATTAACAAACACTGATGCAGGAACACAAGACAGATGTTTATGTTATGGCCCTGTAACCTTCACTTATGACCACCTTAATAGGATGTAGGTGCAGAATCTGATGTTATAATACTTCATAATTGGTAAATATGAATCAGACCTATTGAGAGGTTTTCAACAGTGTATGACATTGATTTTTAATTGGCAAACTCTACCATCCCATCTCCACCCCACCCCTCCATAAAATGACAGGTGAGTGAGTGTTAAAGGCAGGTGTCCTTTTATATAGAAGTCCAATGACTATGAATCATACTAAATCATGATGTTAGACAAGTGGCTGTTTTGTTCAGATATCAGATAAACAGATGGTTTTTAATGCAAGTTTGACTTTATTGTATAACATGAAATGTGTAGAAACTTTCGTTTTCATGGTAATAACAAACCACTTACAAAAAGTACAACAATAAAGACACTATCCACATAAATATTTTATCATTGAAATGAAAACTTTAGTTTTAGCTACAAAATAAAATGCCCAAACATTCCATGCTATATGGTGACTCTTATATAGATCAGAACAGAAGTTATTTGCCTTTTGAGTGACCTTTACCAAACCACGTACCTGTCACTGCCAGGACGTACCGGCTTCCTGTATACTTCATTGGTGAGGGCTATGGGAATAGAAACAACTAGTTCAGTATGTCATCATCTCAAGGTACTCTCAAGTTCTTTATCTTAGTAGTGTATAAACTTCAAATTACTGCACACTTATTTCTACTAATATAAAATCTACACATTTTATAAAGCGGTTTTAAAATAATATGATTCTCAGAATAACTAAACAAATCTGCTATAATAGAAATTTCAGATTTGTAAAAAGTCCTAAAGACATTTTGCCTTAAGTGCAAAAATTAACCCTGAACAAATGTTTTCATGTGTACAGTAAGGTACATCAGTACAGACTCTGCCCACCTTGGTGAGTGATGGACAGCTGTGACCTGAGGTCAACCACTTCCCGATTCATTTCCTTCATCAGTGACGTCTGTTCCTCATACCTCCGAAGCAGATCACGGTTTCGGTCCATCTACACATACAATTTGAAAACCTGACATGATTAGGAGATTAAATTTAAGCTACAATATACTAAATGTTTATCTCTTATATTAGTTATATCTGGAAACAACACTATTTTTGTTACAACTTTATTATCTATAAAGAAGAAAACAAACCAGGTTTTTTTCTATTTAATGTCAAAACTACATTTTACTTATTAATAAATCCATAGGTCTCCATTGTAACACTAAATCATCACACAGAAGCATGACAAACCTCCTCTTGGAGACGTTTCTCCAGCTGTGATGTTTGGGCACTGGACAGTGTTGTTTCTTGGCGTAGTGCCTCCTTGGCTTTCTCCAGGTCACGTTGTAACATGAGCGTCTCTGGAGAGGGTCTTCTCAATTCTCTCATCATCTCCTCCTGTCCTGTAAACACATTACATAATTGTATTACTTATGGTATTTAAGTAAAAACCAGAGCTTATAAATCACAATTTTTATGTATACTGAAAACATTACAAACAACCTGAACAAAATGTGCAGATTCTCAATAGTGATTTAACTTGAAATATCTCACATATATTTAGCCTAATAAAAACCCTATATTTGTGTTATATAAATATACTACTCACTTCCTCTTTCACGTTCGTTCATTTGCATCAACTCTGCAAGCCTCCTAAATATTTGGAGAAAATGGTAAAAATCAAATTAAAATATGTAAATACAAGAAAATGAATCTGTCAGCCTGTCTTTTCAACATCTCGAAGCAGTAGGAAATATTGGTGATAAAACACAATGATGAATGTTTAATAAACAATAGTATCTGTCCGGTTTGAAATTGTGAAAAATTTCTTTTTATTTCTAAGAATTCACTAGAGACATACTTGTGGGTAAAAAAGAAATCACATGATTCCCCCAATCAAAGCATCATATTAAAATAACTATGTTACATAACTTATACAGTATAACTTATATTGAGAGATATGTTATTAAACTATTATTAATCACTTGTTAGCCCTGAGTGAAGCACCTAAAGGGTTTTGCCGTAGGAGGAAAATGGGATACACAGGAAAATCCTACTTGGTATGGAGTCACCTGTCCAACCATACCATCAACTACAGAAGAGACTTCATTCTCATAGTATCCCTGCTTACAACTCAACAACTTACGTTCTCAAAGTCTCCAGCTCATTCTTCATCACAGCATTACTCTCTTGTAACACCTTGTAGTCACCCATCTACAAAACAAAGTTACTTATTTTATCTGAATCCCAGCACTATTTCATTTATCAACATAAGTCAACAATCTACAGAGTAGTGCTTACATCTCAAAGGTTTAAAGTAATTGCATCTTTTAATTTCTTACCTCTCGTAGCTTATAAATAATTGTATCATTTATTTGTCTCTTACCTTAGAACAGTATTATATAATCACTTACCTCTCGTAGCTTATAAATAATTGTATCATCTATTTGTCTCTTACCTTATAACAGTATTATATAATCACTTACCTCTCGTAGCTTATAAATAATTGTATCATTTATTTGTCTCTTAAAAACAGTATTATATAATCACTTACATCTCGTAGCTTATAAATAATTGTATCATTTATTTGTCTCTTACCTTAGAACAGTATTATATAATCACTTACATCTCGTAGCTTATAAATAATTGTATCATTTATTTGTCTCTTACCTTAGAACAGTATTATATAATCACTTACATCTCGTAGCTTGCCATGTAGAAGTTCATTTTGTCTTGATGCTGCAACTTCTTTATGTTTTTCCTCCTGAATCTTTGTCTACAAGTCAAAAACAAATTCAATGAACGGGCATGTAGCTCACAGATTACCAATGCCAGATGGAACACCCAAAACATTTACACCACCAGTAACACTAATACAATTTACACCACCAGTAACACTAATACAATTTACATCACCAGTAACACTAATACAATTTACACAACCAGTAACACTAATACAAATTACACCACCAGTAACACTAATACAAATTACATTACCAGTAACACTAATACAATTTACACAACCAGTAACACTAATACAAATTACATTATCAGTAACACTAATACAATTTACACCACCAGTAACACTTTAGAATTACTGTCATGACATTGAGGTGCGTATCAATGTTTGATATTCTTACACCACCATTATATACAGCTTGATATCACCTCCATCTTACAAACAGAACACCTTAAGACAGGTGACAAATAAAATATAGTCACATACCTCAAGTTCATTGATGCGAACCTCCCTGTCCTTCAGTGTATCCTTGAGTCCCTGAAGATGATCCTTGTCTTCTCCCACACGCCTCTCATCCTCTGTAAGATGACAGATCAACAATGAGGAAAACAAATAAATCCATCCCCTGTCAACCCCCAACTCCTCTTATTAGGAACATAAAACAGGAACCTTGACTTCTGTTACTAGAGACATAAAAAACAATCCTCAAGAATCACTTAAGTGGTAACGACAACAATGGTTCTATTCCTAGACTGAACATGAAAAGGTATACAGTCACCTGCCCATCAATGTTGGTTTCCACTTGATACTGGCCTCCTCCCACAGTTAGACCCCTCCCACACACAGGATAAACAAGATAACTCCTCCCACAGTTAGACCCCTCCCACACACTTTTCCATCAGGATAAACAAGATAACTCCTCCAACAGGTAGACCCCTCCCATACACAGGATAAACAAGATAACTCCTCCCACAGTTAGACCCCTCCCACACACTTTTCAATCAGGATAAACAAGATAACTCCTCCCACAGTAAGACCCCTCCCATACACTTTTCCATCAGGATAAACAAGATAACTCCTCCCACAGTTAGATCCCTCCCATACACAGGATAAACAAGATAACTCCTCCCACAGTTAGATCCCTCCCACACACTTTTCAATCAGGATAAACAAGATAACTCCTCCCACAGTTAGACCCCTCCCACACACTTTTCAATCAGGATAAACAAGATAACTCCTCCCACAGTTAGACCCCTCCCACAAATTTTTCAATCAGGATAAACAAGATAACTCATCCCACAGTTAGATCCCTCCCACACACTTCTCCATCTGGATAAACAAGATAACTCCTCCCACAGTTAGACCCCTCTCACACACTTTTCAATCTGGATAAACAAGATAACTCCTCCCACAGTTAGACCCCTCTCACACACTTTTCAATCAGGATAAACAAGATAACTCATCCCACAGGTACACCCCTCCCACAAATTTTTCAATCAGGATAAACAAGATAACTCATCCCACAGGTACACCCCTCCCACAAATTTTTCAATCAGGATAAACAAGATAACTCATCCCACAGTTAGATCCCTCCCACACACTTTTCAATCAGGATAAACAAGATAACTCCTCCCACAGTTAGACCCCTCCCATACACAGGATAAACAAGATAACTCAATTTGAGTTGGAAAAACTTGTTTAACAATGGTTGTTAGATACATTAAATTTATCGTTTAGCTGTGCAGAAATAATTTATCTTCAACCTAAAGTTTATATAGATTTTAATTAATCAACTATAATTATTTCATACTTAAAATGATTAAAACTGAACAATATGACTCTCTTCTAAGCATCATATGATACACGATGGATAAAAAGCCCAGCTCAGTTACAAGAATCATTCTTTTATTCACTGAACTCACCTCTCAGCTTAGCCTCCCTGATCTCAAGGTTCTGTGTTCTTGCCATAAACTTGGCCTGTTCCTCCACCTTGAATCTGAACAGAAACACCATAAAATAAAAATGGGTTTTTTCACCTTAAGTCTGCCATAATATGATATATAATTCTTAATTTTAGTGTCAAAAGTAGAATGTATAATTTTAGCCATGTTCTATTTTCCCTGTTGCAGAGTAGGAACGCATGGAAGAAGTCTGCCTGAATTTACATCATTCAGTTAAATAATTTCCATGCAATCTTATGATGAAAACAGTGAAAATTAGAGACAAGTAAAAACAAAATTCTTATACAGTATATCCCTAAAATTATCACATGATCAATGATATTGTACAATGTTCTAATCTTAGCATTGTGATGAACAGGTAAACACACCTCAAATCTAAAACCGAACTTATCTTAATATCAAAAACATTTTGTATTTGTGTCAACACTACTGTTATACAAGGTTTACAATCTGTTTTCACATCAATATATAGTTTACAACACTATATCATCATAGAACTGGATTATTGTCTCTATGTCCACAGTAGTGAATGTGATGCTGTAAGAATTTTAAAACATATAAATTATCAAAAGAAAAACATGCCAGTGTGTAGTGTAAATGACAGCTAACCATACGGAGACCTTTGATAAGTGTGCAGTCTTAATCAGGTCTGTTTTAAACATGCTTGAGCATAGTTACCTGATATTACTAACTGACCTGGAAATCAAACCAGTGTAAGAATACTTGACAAGTTCAAGTTTATAGAAATGTCTGTTGTGAGATATCAACCTACAATATGTTCATATCTGTATAGTTATGTTTCCTGGGGAAAAAGTAACATGAAAATGTGAAACACAACCCTGATTTCCCTAATAAAAATTTGATAACTTCAATTATCTTTTAGTTGACAACCTAATGTTATATTTTCAAAAAGTTGGTAAATTTTGGTTCATATTCATCTATTTGTCTGTCTAGTTTCTGTCCATACTCCCTTTCTTGTTTCTCTATATAGTTTCTGTCTATACTCACTATCTTGTTTGTCTGTCTAGTTTCTGTCCATACTCACTATCTTGTTTGTCTGTCTAGTTTCTGTCTATACACACTATCTTGTTTGTGTAGTTTCTGTCCATACTCACTATCTTGTTTGTCTGTCTAGTTTCTGTCTATACACACTATCTTGTTTGTGTAGTTTCTGTCCATACTCACTATCTTGTTTGTCTGTCTAGTTTCTGTCCATACTCCCTTTCTTGTTTCTCTATATAGTTTCTGTCCATACTCACTATCTTGTTTGTCTGTATAGTTTCTGTCCATACTAACTTTCTTGTTTGTCTGTCTAGTTTCTGTCTATACTCACTATCTTGTTTGTCTAGTTTCTGTCCATACTCACTATCTTGTTTCTCTATATAGTTTCTGTCCATACTAACTTTCTTATTAGTCTGTACAGTTTCTTCCATTACTCACTTCCTTGTTCCGGAGTCTAGTTTCTGTCCATACTCACTTTCTTGTTAGTCTGTCTAGTTTCTGTCCATACTCACTTTCTTGATAGTCTGTCTAGTTTCTGTCCATACTCACTTTCTTGTTAGTCTGTCTAGTTTCTGTCCATACTCACTTCCTTGTTCCTGAGTCTAGTTTCTGTCCATACTCACTTTCTTGTCAGTCTGTCTAGTTTCTGTCCATACTCATTTCCTTGTTCCTGAGTCTAATTTCTGTCCATACTCACTTCCTTGTTCCTGAGTCTAGTTTCTGTCCATACTCACTTTCTTGTCAGTCTGTCTAGTTTCTGTCCATACTCATTTCCTTGTTCCTGAGTCTAATTTCTGTCCATACTCATTTCCTTGTTCCTGAGTCTAGTTTCTGTCCATACTCACTTCCTTGTTCCTGAGTCTAGTTTCTGTCCATACTCACTTCCTTGTTCCTGAGTCTAGTTTCTGTCCATACTCACTTCCTTGTTCCCGAGTCTAGTTTCTGTCCATACTCACTTCCTTGTTCCTGAGTCTAGTTTCTGTCCATACTCACTTCCTTGTTCCCGAGTCTAATTTCTGTCCATACTCACTTCCTTGTTCCTGAGTCTAGTTTCTGTCCATACTCACTTCCTTGTTCCTGAGTCTAGTTTCTGTCCATACTCACTTCCTTGTTCCTGAGTCTAGTTTCTGTCCATACTTTATCATTTTATTGTCTGTGTTTGTATTGTTAATCGGGGGATTACTTCATATTTCCACTAACTACCAATTTTATCAAATTTTGTATTCACTCCATCACCTCCCTACTCACTTTGTCATTTCATTGGCTAGTTTCTGTTCATATTCTGTCTCTTGTCGATTGACTAGATGTTCTCTGTGTTTCAAATTAGAATCTTTGTCTCGTAGTCGATCTTCCATTAGCTGTTTCTCCCTGCAAATATCAAAATATTCATGATACAATTATCACAGTGACTGCCTTCAATATTAAGTTTTATAAACAAAATAGAGAATGGAAACAAAGCACAAAACTTAAAATCTCAGTCTGTTAAAATCAGAAATTAATCAAATAAAATTAAGTGTAAAGACAAAAGAGTGAGGATATCTTTGAAGTAGCTGGGGGCTACCTTATTGGTTAACATGCTAGAGGCCTATCACACGTTATTTGGGGTAAACTGTGATGTCAAAGTACACAACACTGTATTTAACCTATTACATTGTCTTTATGTTACAATTTGTTGTACCTGTCGTTGATGTCAGCCTGGCGTTTGACGTCAGCCTCTCGTCTTCGTAGCTGTTCTATTTCCTCCAGTATGGTCTGACGTTGAGTATATATCTCCTTCTCATGCATCTATCAAATATTGTTTTTATATATATATCCACATATATGAAAATGCCTAGTTTTTGGAATCAGACCAATACAATATCAATGTCCTGACAAACTATTAACCAATGGAAACTTTTCAAAAAACCAAATTTAGGCTAGAGGAAATATCTTATCACTGTCATTACATTCACACATAACCGCAAACTGAAGATATCTAATCATATAAAGTATATGCTGTTAAGGACAGGATAAAATGAAGACTCTATGTTGTCAAGTTTTACATTTTATGTTTACTGATAATTTTTTTTGGTCAGTTTCTTTACCTCTTGTTCTCTCTGCATCCTTTCTATAGAGTTACGTTCTCGTGTCGTCATCGAGTCAATTTTATTCTGGTATGTTCTCTCCAGCTGCAGTTATATACAAAATATATTTAGGAGTGACTGAATATCTGGGTAATGTAGTAATAGTGACACAGCATAATTTTACATTCTTAGTAAAATACAGTCTAGATAGTAATGGTCCTTATGTCTAGATAGTACTGGCCCAGGTATGGTCCTTATGTCTAGATAGTACTGGCCCAGCGATGGTCCTTATGTCTAGATAGTACTGGCCTAGGTATGGTCCTTAAGTCTAGATAGTACTGGCCCAGTGATGGTCCTTATGTCTAGATAGTACTGGCCCAGGTATGGTCCTTATGTCTAGATAGTACTGGCCCAGCGATGGTCCTTATGTCTAGATATTACTGGCCCAGGTATGGTCCTTATGTCTAGATAGTACTGGCCCAGGTATGGTCCTTATGTCTAGATATTACTGGCCCAGGTATGGTCCTTATGTCTAGATAGTATTGACCCAGTGATGGTCCTTAAAAGTACAGACACATGTCAGGAAGGGCTCATTGTGTTGCATTCTAAACCTGAGTGTTGATAGACTTTTGTTTATTGCTTTGTACAGACACCAAAATTTGATTACAAATAGATATTTTAAATCTGAACTCCATCTTTGACATGTTGACCTTGACCTACAGTTAGGTGACTTCTCAGTCGATTTTAACTTATTATGCTTCAATATGTCAGAACAAAATATCTGCAAGTAAAATATTTCAAATTTGACCTTATGACCTTGACCTATGGACAAGTGACTTCTCATTTCAGTTAAATCTGCTTCATCATGTCATAAGTAAATACTTAGCAGTAACAATCAGATATATCATTTACTGAATATTTCAATTTCTATTTATAGTGTTGTCAGCCTTGAGCTTTGTCCTCTGATCATAAAAAGAATGTGAGAGCTAGCATTTTCTGTGAAAAAGTAATGGAGAAAGTCTGGTTATAATTATCTAAACAGAACTGATGATATTTCACAGAAACTAATATTCTATTCATTGTAACAGTGACCTTAACCTTTGACTTGTGACCTGAAACTCCATATATAGAGAAAGATAAACCTATACAAAATATTAAAAGGAGATCCCAACACAATATGTTTAGCTCCTTTTAATAAGTCGAGAACATGTATGCCTACTAATGTTACCATGAAATTATTTATGTGATGAACTTCAAAAATCTGACAAATTTTTCATATGAAAACAGGAAACCTGCTGGCTTTACCTCACGTCGTAGTTGATCCAACTCACGACGACCATTCTCCTTCTCTTCAACACGTATCCGAGCAATCTCATTCTCCTTCATCCGTGCAAGCTAACAAAATAAACATCCCTTGTAAACACCAGTGTCAGACAATGATTAGCCACATTTTATTTAGTATCATTTCAATTTTTAAACATAACACAACTAATTTACCTCTTAACCCCATCTCCATTTGTATATCAGATCTGGTATTTTACTGAACCCTCCTAACCCATACTCACCTAAAGACAATATCTATCATGGTCCTGACCCCTCCTAACCCGTAAAGTCACCTACAGACAATATCTATCATGGTCCTGACCCCTCCTAACCCATAAAGTCACCTACAGACAATATCTATCATGGTCCTGACCCCTCCTAACCCGTAAAGTCACCTACAGACAATATCTATCATGGTCCTGACCCCTCCTAACCCATAGTCACCTACAGACAATATCTATCATGGTCCTGACCCCTCCTAACCCGTAAAGTCACCTACAGACAATATCTATCATGGTCCTGACCCCTCCTAACCCGTAAAGTCACCTACAGACAATATCTATCATGGTCCTGACCCCTCCTAACCCATAGTCACCTAAAGACAATATCTATCATGGTCCTGACCCCTCCTAACACATAAAGTCACCTACAGACAATATCTATCATGGTCCTGACCCCTCCTAACCCATAGTCACCTACAGACAATATCTATCATGGTCCTGACCCCTCCTAACCCGTAAAGTCACCTACAGACAATATCTATCATGGTCCTGACACCTCCTAACACATAAAGTCACCTACAGACAATATCTATCATGGTCCTGACCCCTCCTAACCCATAGTCACCTACAGACAATATCTATCATGGTCCTGACCCCTCCTAACCCATAAAGTCACCTACAGACAATATCTATCATGGTCCTGACCCCTCCTAACCCATAGTCACCTACAGACAATATCTATCATGGTCCTGACCCCTCCTAACCCATAAAGTCACCTACAGACAATATCTATCATGGTCCTGACCCCTCCTAACCCATAGTCACCTACAGACAATATCTATCATGGTCCTGACCCCTCCTAACCCGTAAAGTCACCTACAGACAATATCTATCATGGTCCTGACCCCTCCTAACCCATAAAGTCACCTACAGACAATATCTATCATGGTCCTGACCCCTCCTAACCCATAAAGTCACCTACAGACAATATCTATCATGGTCCTGACCCCTCCTAACCCATAGTCACCTACAGACAATATCTATCATGGTCCTGACCACTCCTAACCCATAGTCACCTACAGACAATATCTATCATGGTCCTGACCCCTCCTAACCCGTAAAGTCACCTACAGACAATATCTATCATGGTCCTGACCCCTCCTAACCCATAAAGACAACTACAGACAATATCTATCATGGTCACCCCTCCTAACCCAGTCACCTACAGACAATATCTATCATGGTCCTGACCCCTCCTAACCCCTAAAGTCACCTACAGACAATATCTATCATGGTCCTGACCCCTCCTAACCCATAAAGTCACCTACAGACAATATCTATCATGGTCCTGACCCCTCCTAACCCATAAAGTCACCTACAGACAATATCTATCATGGTCCTGACCCCTCCTAACCCATAAAGTCACCTACAGACAATATCTATCATGGTCCTGACCCCTCCTAACCCGTAAAGTCACCTACAGACAATATCTATCATGGTCCTGACCCCTCCTAACCCTTAAAGTCACCTACAGACAATATCTATCATGGTCCTGACCCCTCCTAACCCATAAAGTCACCTACAGACAATATCTATCATGGTCCTGACCCCTCCTAACCCATAGTCACCTACAGACAATATCTATCATGGTCCTGACCCCTCCTAACCCATAAAGTCACCTACAGACAATATCTATCATGGTCCTGACCCCTCCTAACCCGTAAAGTCACCTACAGACAATATCTATCATGGTCCTGACCCCTCCTAACCCATAAAGTCACCTACAGACAATATCTATCATGGTCCTGACCCCTCCTAACCCATAAAGTCACCTACAGACAATATCTATCATGGTCCTGACCCCTCCTAACCCATAAAGTCACCTACAGACAATATCTATCATGGTCCTGACCCCTCCTAACCCATAGTCACCTACAGACAATATCTATCATGGTCCTGACCCCTCCTAACCCATAAAGTCACCTACAGTATCTATCATGGTCCTGACCCCTCCTAACCCATAAAGTCACCTACAGACAATATCTATCATGGTCCTGACCCCTCCTAACCCATAAAGTCACCTACAGACAATATCTATCATGGTCCTGACCCCTCCTAACCCGTAAAGTCACCTACAGACAATATCTATCATGGTCCTGACCCCTCCTAACCCATAACCCAAGTCACCTACAGACAATATCTATCATGGTCCTGACCCCTCCTAACCCATAGTCACCTACAGACAATATCTATCATGGTCCTGACCCCTCCTAACCCGTAAAGTCACCTACAGACAATATCTATCATGGTCCTGACCCCTCCTAACCCATAAAGTCACCTACAGACAATATCTATCATGGTCCTGACCCCCCTAACCCGTAAAGTAATATCTATCATGGTCCTGACCCCTCCATCATGGTCCTGACCCCTCCTAACCCGTAAAGTCACCTACAGACAATATCTATCATGGTCCTGACCCCTCCTAACCCATAAAGTCACCTACAGACAATATCTATCATGGTCCTGACCCCTCCTAACCCATAGTCACCTACAGACAATATCTATCATGGTCCTGACCCCTCCTAACCCGTAAAGTCACCTACAGACAATATCTATCATGGTCCTGACCCCTCCTAACCTATAAAGTCACCTACAGACAATATCTATCATGGTCCTGACCCCTCCTAACCCGTTAAGTCACCTACAGACAATATCTATCATGGTCCTGACCCCTCCTAACCCATAGTCACCTACAGACAATATCTATCATGGTCCTGACCCCTCCTAACACATAAAGTCACCTACAGACAATATCTATCATGGTCCTGACCCCTCCTAACCCATAAAGTCACCTACAGACAATATCTATCATGGTCCTGACCCCTCCTAACCCATAAAGTCACCTACAGACAATATCTATCATGGTCCTGACCCCTCCTAACCCGTAAAGTAAAGTCACCTACAGACAATATCTATCATGGTCCTGACCCCTCCTAACCCGTAAAGTCACCTACAGACAATATCTATCATGGTCCTGACCCCTCCTAACCCATAAAGTCACCTACAGACAATATCTATCATGGTCCTGACCCCTCCTAACCCAGAGTCACCAACAGACAATATCTATCATGGTCCTGACCCCTCCTAACCCATAGTCACCTACAGACAATATCTATCATGGTCCTGACCCCTCCTAACCCATAGTCACCTAAAGACAATATCTATCATGGTCCTGACCCCTCCTAACCCATAGTCACCTACAGACAATATCTATCATGGTCCTGACCCCTCCTAACCCCTAAAGTCACCTACAGACAATATCTAAGTCACCTACAGACAATATCTATCAACCCCATAACCCGTAAAGTCACCTACAGACCCCTCCTAACAAGTCACCTACAGACAATATCTATCATGGTCCTGACCCCTCCTAACCCATAAAGTCACCTACAGACAATATCTATCATGGTCCTGACCCCTCCTAACCCTTAAAGTCACCTACAGACAATATCTATCATGGTCCTGACCCCTCCTAACCCGTAAAGTCACCTACAGACAATATCTATCATGGTCCTGACCCCTCCTAACCCATAAAGTCACCTACAGACAATATCTATCATGGTCCTGACCCCTCCTAACCCATAAAGTCACCTACAGACAATATCTATCATGGTCCTGACCCCTCCTAACCCATAGTCACCTACAGACAATATCTATCATGGTCCTGACCCCTCCTAACCCATAGTCACCTACAGACAATATCTATCATGGTCCTGACCCCTCCTAACCCGTAAAGTCACCTACAGACAATATCTATCATGGTCCTGACCCCTCCTAACCCATAGTCACCTACAGACAATATCTATCATGGTCCTGACCCCTCCTAACCCATAGTCACCTACAGACAATATCTATCATGGTCCTGACCCCTAACCCGTAAAGTCACCTACAGACAATATCTATCATGGTCCTGACCCCTCCTAACCCGTAAAGTCACCTACAGACAATATCTATCATGGTCCTGACCCCTCCTAACCCATAGTCACCTACAGACAATATCTATCATGGTCCTGACCCCTCCTAACCCATAGTCACCTACAGACAATATCTATCATGGTCCTGACCCCTCCTAACACATAAAGTCACCTACAGACAATATCTATCATGGTCCTGACCCCTCCTAACCCGTAAAGTCACCTACAGACAATATCTATCATGGTCCTGACCCCTCCTAACCCGTAAAGTCACCTACAGACAATATCTATCATGGTCCTGACCCCTCCTAACACATAAAGTCACCTACAGACAATATCTATCATGGTCCTGACCCCTCCTAACCCATAGTCACCTACAGACAATATCTATCATGGTCCTGACCCCTCCTAACCCATAGTCACCTAAAGACAATATCTATCATGGTCCTGACCCCTCCTAACCCGTAAAGTCACCTACAGACAATATCTATCATGGTCCTGACCCCTCCTAACCCATAAAGTCACCTACAGACAATATCTATCATGGTCCTGACCCCTCCCCCTCCTAACAGATAATATCTATCATGGTCCTGACCCCTCCTAACCCGTAAAGTCACCTACAGACAATATCTATCATGGTCCTGACCCCCCTCCGTAAAGTAACCCATATCAACCCATAGTCACCTACAGACAATATCTATCATGGTCCTGACCCCTCCTAACCCATAGTCACCTAAAGACAATATCTATCATGGTCCTGACCCCTCCTAACCCGTAAAGTCACCTACAGACAATATCTATCATGGTCCTGACCCCTCCTAACCCGTAAAGTCACCTACAGACAATATCTATCATGGTCCTGACCCCTCCTAACCCGTTAAGTCACCTACAGACAATATCTATCATGGTCCTGACCCCTCCTAACCCATAGTCACCTACAGACAATATCTATCATGGTCCTGACCCCTTCTAACCCGTAAAGTCACCTACAGACAATATCTATCATGGTCCTGACCCCTCCTAACCCGTAAAGTCACCTACAGACAATATCTATCATGGTCCTGACCCCTCCTAACCCGTAAAGTCACCTACAGACAATACCTATCATGGTCCTGACCCCTCCTAACCCGTAAAGTCACCTACAGACAATACCTATCATGGTCCTGACCCCTCCTAACCCGTTAAGTCACCTACAGACAATATCTATCATGGTCCTGACCCCACCTAACCCGTTAAGTCACCTACAGACAATACCTATCATGGTCCTGACCCCTCCTAACCCGTAAAGTCACCTACAGACAATATCTATCATGGTCCTGACCCCTCCTAACCCATAGTCACCTACAGACAATATCTATCATGGTCCTGACCCCTCCTAACCCATAGTCACCTACAGACAATATCTATCATGGTCCTGACCCCTCCTAACCCATAAAGTCACCTACAGACAATATCTATCATGGTCCTGACCCCTCCTAACCCGTTAAGTCACCTACAGACAATATCTATCATGGTCCTGACCCCTCCTAACCCGTAAAGTCACCTACAGACAATATCTATCATGGTCCTGACCCCTCCTAACCCATAAAGTCACCTACAGACAATATCTATCATGGTCCTGACCCCTCCTAACCCATAAAGTCACCTACAGATAATATCTATCATGGTCCTGACCCCTCCTAACCCGTAAAGTCACCTACAGACAATATCTATCATGGTCCTGACCCCTCCTAACCCGTTAAGTCACCTACAGACAATATCTATCATGGTCCTGACCCTTCATAACCTACACCTCCAGTTGTACATCAGATCCATAACGATCCTTCTTAATCCTCACCTCAAGTTGTAAATCAGATCTGTAGCGTTCTTCTAACTGACGCTGAAAGGACAGCAATCTGTCCTCTACTGCGGTTACTCCAATCTTGTGATGGTCATCTCTTTTAGATGAGTAGAGGTCATCAACACCAATAAGCTTCTCATCTGGAAATAAATAGCAAGTGGTACCAAACATGTAAGGGCTGGGACATCAAAAACTTTCCAAAAATTGTTTAGTGAGTTTGGCTGTAGACAAGGTCTATGTAAGTTGTATCTTTTTCCTTCTTTCTTCTTGTTTATACTGTACAATCATGTGAAAACATAAAAAAACAAGGAAAATCTCTCGGCCATTTCGTCTTTCTTTTCAATCCCAAATTCAGGTGTGCATAACTAGTGAGCAACAGAAACCTACATGTACATATGAAATATTATCCAATCACAACATCTCAAAAATTGTTATTTATTATAACCACTGAAATCAACGATGGCCGACTCTCGGCCATTTTGCTTTCATGATCAGTTCTATTATGGACAATTCACAACTAGAGATCATTGAGAACTTACAACAAAACAAACAAAAAAAACCCAAGAGATCTCATAGGGATCTTGGAGCTCCCCATTATTTGATCTTTACATGCTCTTTGAAAGATGGATCTCTTCTCATCTTTTCTCTTTTCTTTTCTGTTTTTGCTCTTAACGATAAGACATTTAAACATTCTTTTGCAGAAATAAATGATAATCTTTACCTTCCAAATCCAAAATGGCCACCTGGAAGCCATTTTGTTTCTTCTGATTAGTCTCAAAAGCAAACGAGCAAAAGGAGAGATCAAAGGCAACATACATATGAAATTTGAGAGATATCAACAATCTTTACTAGGCAAAATCCAAGACGGCTGACTGTCCATAATTTTGATTTCCTGAACAGGCCAAAAATCAAATAGGCACAACTAGGGACCTAAAGAACCCTATACATGGAATTTGAGAAAGCTCTATACAGTAATTCTCAAGAAACAGTGATAACAAACTTTTGAAGTCAAAATCTTTGATGTCTGTCGGCCATTTTGTTTCTCTGACCAGTCCCAAAATCAGACTGGCACAACTAGGGACCAAATGGAACCTACATATGAAATCTATTAAAGATCCATTAAGTACTTCTCAAGAATTAGCAATAACAAACTTTCATAGTCAAAATCCAAGATGGCCACCTTTCAGTCATTTTTTTTTTGCTGATCACACCCAAAAATAAATGGGCACAACTAAGGACAAAGGGGCACCTACACAAGAAAAAGTGATAGCTTTCAAAGTCAAAATTCAAGATGACCACCTTTTGGCCATTTTGTTTTTCTTATCAGTTCAAAAATTACATGGGCACAATTAGGGGCTAGGGGAAACCTACATATGAAATTTGAGAGAGATCAATCCCTTAATTTTCAAGGAATTGTGATGACAAACTTCATTGAAAAACTCCAAGATGGTTGCCTGTCGGCCATTTTGTATTTTGGTCGGTCCCAAAATCAAACTGGCACAACTAGGGATCAATGGGAACCTACATATGCAATTTGAGAAAGATTCATCGAGGACTTCTCAAGAAATGGAAGCAGAACCCATAACATCAATCTTAGGCCTCTGTATTTCCTGAAAAGGAGGGCTGCGGGATGTGAAAATGTTGACTCAGAAACCTACCCAACAAACTATAAAAAGAGTTAAAAACAAAATCAGCAGGGGTTCACATAATAATATCCCCTTGCTTCCTGACCTTTAAATTTATCCAAATCAGTTGGGGGACATGGTACCTTGTATACAAGCTTATTATTTCAAAAATGGTCAGATAAGACTTTCGACCTTTAACCTGAACCAATTATCACTGTTGTAAAAAAAGGAGTGATGCTATGGTCAGTTTGGGTACCTATTCTAGTTCAGTGATGGGCCTGATATTGATGCGGTCAGTCTGGGTACTTTCTCAAGTTAAGTGATGGGCCTTACCTTAATGTGGTCAGTCTGATAACCTATTCTAATTAAGTGATGGTTCTGACTTAGATGTGGTCAGTCTTGGTACCTTACCTAATGAGGTGATTGGTCCAACCTTGATGAGGTCAGTCTGGGTTCCAAAGTCTTGTACAGCATTGGCGTGGAGACTTGCGACTTCACTAAGAAGCTGCCATAGAAATCCTGTAAACAGAATGTAAGCATTATTTAATAACAATTAAAGACAAAATATTCAAGAATAAAAGATACATTAAAACAACAACACTCAAAAGTAAAATAGTGCACATAGGATACTAGACAACATTACATAACCAGGTACACAAACCATCAATTAGGATACCATATTGCAGAATGGTGCAGCTGAGCTGATAACAACCAGCCAATAACATAAATAAAGACAACAATCTAAAAAAGACCTGTTTGTCAAGAACATCTGTTGGTACTAAACTGAATCCAGGTGTTAATGAAAGGTTTTTGTTTGGTTCACAACATTGTATATGTATTTATATCCATACTTTAAACCAACTTTCTTTCGTGTGAGATATACTTTTGCTAGTTTTCATGATTCTCACAAATTTGTGAAAGTTAATCATTGTGAATCAATTCAGTCATACAAAGATTATCCTTTAGCTGTGATACCAAAACTGTGAAGTTTGTAGCAGCGAAAGACAGAGTATACGACACACAAATGAATAGCCCAGGTCTTTCAATAATAAGTCAAACTGGTATGTAAGCTGCAGAGCCATTTTTTATTTAATTTTTTTTCAATTTGATCCACACATAAGCCAGACCGGAATATAAGCTACACCCTTTCTTACAAAGTGGTAACTGTTACATTCACCAAAAGTTTGTTGATATAACAGACTACAGAGGGCAATTTATCTAGATCATCAGTGAATCATTTGATAAAGTTTGCAAATGAATCATACACAGACAATCCTTTATTTTATTGATGTATTTCAAAAAAACGTAAAATGACACATATCAAACTGGTTTGTCTTGCAAGTTACATGATGCTATTGATATCGTAAAACAAGAATGGCAGTCATTCTAGAATTTTGCCTATAACCTGATGACCTATTGAATCCAGGATGCAACAGGTCATTGTAAACTTCCACTACAGCTTCGAAGTAACCATGAAAGTCCAAAAAATATAATTGTGATTCATATTAAAGGGTATGATAAATTAAATTCATGAGAATGTTGTTTTTATTTTAATCTTCAAATCATCCTGTATGTGGTTGCAAATGACAGTTCTAGACAATCTGTTTCAGTAACAAAGATGACGAGCAGGTACTCATAAAAAAACTCAGTACCGTCTTGTACTGCTGTACTAGTACGCTTCCTGTTCTGGGATTTTTTTTTCATGCAGTATATAAGCTGCACACCAGACTCACGAGGAAAAAATGTGTGTCTTTTAATTCGGAAAATACAGTATCTAGAATTAGACACATGTATACAAAATAATGGGGAGCTGGTGCACTAGCCCCCACAAAAAATAGATTTCATGAATGGATGATTTTAAAAGAATATCTTATACATGTGGATGTTAAATTCACACATTTATTAACTGAAATATTGCACTAAGTATGTATATATTTGTAGAGAACCTAGAACAATACCTTTCTTGTGATGTTCCCCTTCAGGTGAGGCCTGTGAAATGAAAAAAATTACAAACTCGTCAAAATGTTTTATGTACCATTTTCCCAGGTATTGTATCAGCTATATAAATGTGTTGAAAATTTTACAGGATTACAAACTCATTAAATAGTCAGAAATAAAACTCAATAACCAAATATAATTAGTTGGAAATCACAAGTCATAGACCAAGTGACTTACCATTACATCAGCCATTGAGCTATTTTTAAAATGTAAAAATGACAGAGAAGACTCTGTTTGTAACAGGTGGTTACTAAGCATTAGCTAAGAACTACATATGTGTACATGTATTAGAAGCTGAAAACTCACCATCTTTCTATAAAGTCGTGACTGAGAACTAATCCCAAGAAGCTGTAGAAGATCATGTGTTCCAAACACCTAAAATTGAAACAAATGAAAAAACAAATCATTTTCAGAATTCAACTCAATAAACTCACATGGTGTTTCACTGATCCTATAACATTTCTTTTCAAGGCAAAAAACATAACAATGCAGTCAATTCTCCAATATACAAAAGTTATAATCTCCTGAGAATGGGTTAGAAAAACCTATATTCGGCTACAAACTTCAACTCTATAAAATTTTAATGCTGTGCTTATTTTAATGAAATTCTTTTACTAATCCTATCTGTACGAAATTAAAATACAAACCTTATCCCTACTGATGCCACTCTCAGGAAGGAAGACACTGAGCGAGTATTCATAATGACAGCGTCGTAGGTGATCTGCAATTAGACTGTTGGAGGCACGGTGAAGTAAGGATCCTTCTTCTGGGACTCGCAGGTCTCGAAGGGTCAACTGACCATGTCCCCGTGCTGTTTGCTGTAGTTCTGTGACAATACTATTGCGAAGCTGACTCTAATAACAAAAGACAAAATCAAGTTTTGCATGAGGTTCAAATTCTCTCCTTACAATGATGACAAAATCTAATAATTACATGTTCATAATCAATAGTGATGTGCTGATTAATTGAAACCAGTGTTGCTTATAATTAGACAGCAATGCTTTTGATATAAATTAATAATACTTTCAAGTATTAATTAAAAATCCATTTTTTTCTGTAGACTTTTTCCATTCTGTAGCGATCTTATGCAAGAATTATGAACTTTTAATAACTGACACAGATATGTTTCTGCTTTTGTTCTTATAATTTGAGAATTGAAGTTTTTGTTATCAAAGTTTTGAAGACAAACAAAAAAATAGTATACTGAATTTGTAACTTGTGTAACAGTATTGTGCTGAGTGTGTTTTGACTCTATTGCTGTGGACCATGCTGTATCACATTTGCATGTAGTGTGAACAATCAACAACATGAAAGCAAGAAAGGGATCAATATCTTTTTCTAAAAAAGAGGTTTACCTTAACAAAATAATTTATTATAATTGATTATCAGTCAGTTTTAAAAATTGATTACAAGTTATTGATAGTAAAATTGAAAACTAAACTAATCTCTAATAATAAAGGACAATATTGCAATCATCAAAAAAGATGTAATGAAGTGAAAGTAATTCTTTTTCATTCTGTGTAAAGATCTACCTGAAGAAACTGGATTTGCCGAAGTATATTTGACATTATACATATAACAGTTTTCAACTAAGTTGATTTTGTTTTACCTGGGTAGCAGTTACATATAATATGAATTAAAAGTGATAACTGACAGATTGATCCAGAAAGAACTTAATATCTTTTCGAGTAAAACCACAAGGTATTTCATGATGGGTACATTCTTTGGACTGGAAGTTTAAGTCTTATTAATGATGGCCAACAAACATTTGCGTGTCTGTTGAAATGTTGATTTTTATCTTATATTAGTGCATACGGATTTCAAAATCCCAAATGAAATAAAGTTTTCATCTAATTTTTCTGGGCATTCAAAATTCAAAGACATAACAAATGACGAATATTTACGATATCGGATTAACAATTACGTTCGACGTGTGACAAGTGTAAACACGTTCTTCACGCATGGCGGTCACCAAGTGTGTATACATTGTCAACAGGTAATGTTAGGATTTTGCTGATGTAAAATAAAATTTGATCTATAAGATGAATAACGACCGTAAAATAACGCAACAAATAACCCCAAGAACTAACTAATCACCTTGATATTATCGACCAGACCACGATCACGGAGGCTGTGGTACAGCCGATTTCGAAGCTCCTCGGCCGACAGGTACTCTGGTGCTTCCTTATCCATTTCTAGATTTTAAACCTAAGTAACCCAATCTACCGAAAAGTCTTCATTAAGAAATTCGTTCCTTGGCGGCACAAACAACGTTATTTCATTCTTTTATCACTGTTTATGCTTCTTTGAGTTACTGAACAGAACAGAAACTTCACCTGTCAGCCATGTTTCAAATAATTGCGCTTTGTTTACATCGGACCAAATGGCTCTGAATTTAACGATTGGTTAAAAGCAAAAGAGGCTACCCACAGGGTTTTCCTACCCGCAAAATAGAGATAAACGCACTTACTTTCATAATGATAGTAGTTTCATTTTTATTGAAGTTTCATATGTCTTAGAGCCTGTGGTTCTTTAGTTATTCGTCTGTCGTCGAAGAATAAAGGTAACAGATAAAGTGACAAATATAAGGTATTACTTTCGTTTCCGTTCCCTATTAAGAAGTACGTGTTGTAGTTTTATTATCGTTGTCAATAAAAACAAAAACGTTTAAACTTTTATTTTTAGTAAAAGAAAAGTTAAAAAGAGATATCAGTATGATTAATTGTAGCGGTCGATCAAGTTACGTGTATCACAAGTGCTTTTATCCACTAAGGATGTGTTTTTAGACATTTTTTCTTTGTTTTCATATTTGGATTGATTTAGATAATTGTCTTGCAGCAGCAGTAAACGGTAGTTTGGAAGTCGCGGATGTAAAGAGAAACATAATATTAAATATTAAAGAACTGATACAAAAGTAATTACAAAATACAATACAAAAAAGTTGAAAAAACACACTTTAAAAAATAATAAAAAGTAGAAAGAATAAATATGAATAAAATAATACAAAGCGTTTTCAATTGTGGACATTTATTTGAAACAGTGATATTCGATCAGTTTCTGCAGTGAAATAAATGACAGAATTTAGGTATCTGATTTCACCTCACGTTATGTATGTAATATCTTATCGCACAAAATATATAAGAAATAATATTTCCTACCCGCGATCTAGATTTCTTCGGAACGTAAAGATAGTCCCTAAATATTGCATGTGTTTTCTTTTCCAAGAATCTCCTTTTGTCAATGTAGTAGCCGCTGGATTCAGACGAAGTGGTATCGGACGAAGAGACAGACAACATGACAAATATGTCCCGAAACAAACAAATATGACAAAAAATAGGAGATTATCCAGGTAATGTACAATAATGGCATGTCGGGGACACATCTACTAACATAAATTACGCTCCATAACACTCGTGTATCTGAACGGTACACTCACACGTTACATAGCACGTGCACCAACATGCAGTATAATATAGAGCTCTTAAGAAATACTGTTAAGACAGATGGTGATAATCAATACAGGTACGTTCAGTACCCGTCTTGTGTAGAATCAAATGATTAAATATTCATCAGACTTTTGTCTGTAACCCTAAAGCCAGGGGTAATTATGTGCACGTTTCTGACTCAGACACTATTTATGGATATACTAGTAGTAACTTATACACTCTGTTTGTTTTTAAACCAATTTTTAGTAAACTAAATCATTTCCACATCAGGTGTGACCTAAAAAAATATTCTAAATATTCCTTGAAGTGAACTCTTTTCGACAAAATCATGGAGAATAATTCATAAGAGTATCTTTTCAATTGTAATATTTTTCTATAAAATATTTCAGTGCCAATTGAAATTATGAACTATCAACAGTTAGTCCTAACGCGCAGAGTGTCGTCGATAGCAGTATATCGTAGTTGGTCCGGTACACAGGGGCTTGATACGAATTTCAAACCAAATCTATATTTATGCTGTATGTTTTGGAAAATTGAGACTGTGGAGAGATAGACAGTGTTTTATTTACCATTTGAGCGTTTATGAATGTTTCCGTCAATCCTGTGCTGTCTACTTCTAACGTGAATTTTAGATTATAACGAAGTCACCCTCTTCCCCCACACCCACACTCGTCACTTCACCCAATCCCTACTCACTCCCCTACTCTCCTCACTCTTCACTCACCGACTCCCCCTTCTTTCCTCACTCCCCTACTCTCCCCACTCCCCTACTCCCCTCACTCCCCTACTCTCCTCACTTCTCTACTCTTCTCACTCTCTATTCCCTGCCTTTCTTCACTCCCGACTCCCCTACTCTCCTCACTCCCCTACTCTCCACACTCCCCCTTCTCTCCTAACTCCTCGACTCTCCCCACTCTCCACTCCTCAACTCTCCTCACTCCCCAATCCTCCTCTCTCCTCACTTCTCGACTCTCCTCATTCCCTATTCGTCGATTCTCCTCAATCGTCTATCCCCACTTGCCCGACTCTCCTCTCTCCCCTATCCCCATTTGCCCGACTCTACTCTCTCCCCTATCCCCACTCCCCGACTCTCCCAACTCCCCGACTCTCCTCACTCCCCGAATCTCCTCATTTCTCGACTCTCCCCTATCCCCACTTCATAACTCTCCTCACTCCCTATTCGTCGACTCTCCTCAATCGCCTATCCCCACTTGCCCGACTCTTCTCTCTCCCCTATCCCCACTTGCCCGACTATTCTCATTCCCCACTCCCCGACTCTCTCCACTGATCACTCGCCCGACTCTCCTCACTTCTCGACTCTCCTCACTCCCCTATCCCTACTCGCCCTACTAACCTCATTCCTCACTCACCTACTCTCCTCACTCTTCACTCCCTGACTCTCAAGACTCTCCTCACTTCTTGACTCTCCTCACTCCCCATCATCCACCTCCAGCCTCTCACCCACTCCCAACTCTACTCACTCCCACTCTTTTCACTCCCCATAATCACTACCCATATCTCCAAAATCGACGAACATACCATGCACACTGAAAAAAATACAAGAACCAGACAACTTTATTGTGAGCTAAAAAAATATTCCGCCTGTTCTTTAAGAAGATATTTGCTATTTTCATAATCTGAATATGGCTGTCAGTCAAGTGACTTTCCAATTGTTTTTAATCATATTTTCTTCAGGAAGTTATCATAAGACATCATGGATTGATGGTAATGGCGTAGACAAAAATATTGAAAAACCCACCTTTAAACATTGACATTCAGGTGAAGGTCATTGCCTTAGTTTCAGTTTACACGGCTCCGTATGTGATTGATGAGCCCAGGAGTACTGATACTTACCTCTGTGTTGTACCAGGAGTAGCTGGTACTTACGTCAGTATTGTACCAGGAGTAGCTGATACTTACGTCAGTGTTGTATCAGGAGTAGCTGATACTTACGTCAGTGTTGTACCAGGAGTAGCTGATACTTACGTCAGTGTTGTATCAGGAGTAGCTGATACTTACGTCAGTGTTGTACCAGGAGCAACTGATACGTTATTCAGTGTTTTACCAGGAGTAGCTGATACTTACGTCAGTGTTGTATCAGGAGTAGCTGATACTTACGTCAGTGTTGTACCAGGAGTAGCTGATACTTTAGTCAGTGTTGTACCAGGAGCAACTGATACGTTATTCAGTGTTTTACCAGGAGTAGCTGATACTTACGTCAGTGTTGTACCAGGAGTAGCTGATATTTTAGTCATTGTTGTACCAGGAGTAGCTGATACTTACGTCAGTGTTGTACCAGGATTAGCTGATACTGTAGTCAGTGTTTTACCAGGAGTGTCTAATACTTTAGTCAGTGTTGTACCAGGAGTAGCTGATACTTACGTCAGTGTTGTACCAGGATTAGCTGACACTTTAGTTGGTGTTGTACCGGGGATAAGTGATGCTACACTCAGTGTTGTAATTCTCGTTAAAAGACCGACTATACATCATGTTCTGGACACAGTAACGGCTGTCACACAGTAACGGCTATCATACAGTAAGGAGATCATGGCGGCGACTCTACATGATGAACATATAATGTAGTAACTGTGACCACTGCCTAGTGACAGTCATCTACCACGGAAATCGTCATATTGAGAATCAGCCGCTAAAATTAATGAGATTGGTCAGATCGAAAAGAAGGAATGTTGCTGCCAAGAAATATGTATTTCACAATGGGAACACTAGGATAATCAGTCTGGTGAAAGTATCCAACCATGCGTTATTTTAATGAAAATTCTGCTCTCGATAAATTCTTGTATGTCTTTGCCCCTCGCCCTATTTAGGTTCATCGTCCATTTCTTTGAGTATAAACCACCTGACGATGGAATAAGTTAATTGGTTTCTCATTTTTTGCCATGACCTTGACTTGCTGAGAATCACTACCGACCCTTCTTGAGTATAGATTCTGATACTGATCACCAATGAATTCCACTCCGAGTTCGGGATTCACTGGCCGAATCATTGTCGTATTTTGGCAACACCCCTCTCCGTCACTTTCAGCATAATTTGCATTCGTCCTGTTCTTATTTACGAGTACTCTGTTACTTTTTGTCTTTAGTCGTCCGCATTAGATATCCTTGTCCATATTATGTTTTGATTTTGTCCACATATTTGATTCTATCCATATTCTCATCAGCTGTCTGGTCGTATTATATATTCGTCGTATTTTTTCTTGGATTTTTGTTTGTCATTATTCTGTCGGGTTTCCTTCCGTATAGCTGCATTCTGAGATGTCATTTTTTTTTTCGTCCGTTTAATTAGCCCGTTCATTTTCTACGTGTTTACATTTCCTCATTTTATGAATTTTCTAAGAGATTTTAAAAAAATCGTATCAGTTACATCGATTAGAATTGTATAAATTCAAAGTACCCTCTCCCCTTATAAAGTGATCATAGTTAAATCCCGTTGTTGCGCCGAAAAATAATCCCTATTGGGAGCCCCAGTAAAAGATCATGACCTTTTTCAGCGGTCCATGCTTGCAATGCATCCTGGGTATGTTGGCAAGGAAAATATTCATGGCGGACAAGTGAAGTCGTGAGAGGGAGTTGTTTACATGAGTTGCCATTCACTCGGATATATACGACTCAGTGTTTGATTTGAAAAGGAATGGTGTTAACTATACTACCGGAGATATAAATCGGACTGTTTCGATAACTTAAAATTGCATTATAATGTAGTCTGGAGGTTTGTTGAAGAAATTTTGTACCGTTTGTAAAGTTGCTACTTTTGGAGCTCTGTACAATAGCGTGACAAGTATGTCTCTGACGCTTTTGAACCATGCTTTGTCCTGATTCGTGTCACAGATGACATAGGTCAATCTATCCTTCAAGGTAAATTTACATCATTCTAAAAACATTTTGTTACGAAACTTGTGGGCAATTTGTCCTGTTTTCATTTCTCCCTTGACCGTAAGTTGTAGGGGATAGTAACGGTACAAAATGAACCGATGGACTGTGTAAAATTACGCAGAAAGTTTGGCAAGTCTAGAAAGTTGTTTATAGATCTCAAATATGTCGTATTTTCGTTAATGATATTCAAATGTTACTTCATTAATCACAGATCAGATTTTTTTCGTGCTATCACGATTGGAACGAACATAAAGATAGGCACTGTTTCAAGAAAATTTAACATAAGTTGTGTAAAATTTCACCGTCGTCTTTTACAATTCTGTGGCAAGATTTTTTGCCTTGTTCAAGCTGCATGTAGGATTGATGTAGTGGTAAATTTTACTATGATTGCAATTGCAGTTTAATTCGCACTTAAATGAAAATGATTAAGTTACTGGCATGTCAACTTCACTGAATAATTATTTGCACGAAAGCAAGAATTAAAAAAAATTAAATTTAACAAAATAATGAAACCCTGGTAAATACAAGTCACAATATATTGCTTGGCTAGAGAGAATTTTTTTTAGATCAATTGGTTGACTATCAGACTGGAAAGCCAGGGGTCTTGGGTTCAAATCCTAACAGAGGCATTGAAATAAATAATGACCTCTGTTACATAGATATCATAAGTCGTTGAAATGCACATCTTACATGTTAGAGCTATTACAAACACAACACACAACTTTGGAAGAATATTGAATGGTTGATTTATTTGAACTTTTATTCAAATGTTATTGATGTCAACTTCAAAGTAAGTAAAATGGTATTTCAGATAATAGCTTCTGCATATGATTCAAATTCAGATAAAAAATAGAAACTTTCAGACAAATTAAGAACTGGTCAAAGCCAGATTAATCAAAAGTGTTAAACGTAAGCATTCAGAAAGTTTAGTAGATTTCAAATTGCTTAAAATGTAGCAACTGAACATCAAGAAATCTATATGGGTCTAATGATTTATTTTTTATTTGAAATAGGTATTTGTATCGGTAATGTTGTACTTTAGTCATAACTTTTTTCAGTATATAATTTGTTACAAAATTATCAAAGTTGAGACTCACAAAATAGATGACACATCTCACTATATTAGAAAGTTATGTACAGAAATCTGTTAGAAACTTATATACAGAATTTGTTAAAAAGTTTTACACAAAAATATCTCTGTTAGAAAGTTATACAGAAAGTTTTAGATGATTTAACCAGAACTTTTAGTCTATTTTACACAAAAGATTGCACTTAAACTTTTTTCCACAAATTCAAAGCTTAATTTTACATGATTGGTATTGTGTATCATATAATTCAGCATTACACAAAATAAACATATTGACTTTACATGCAAGATAGATAAACAATAGAGTTGCATAATCGCCAGCTATAGCTATTCTTAACACATGAATTGCAGCTTGCTAAATATTACATGAAAAGTTTGAATTGAATATTTCGCTGTTGACCCCCACCAGATTGCAGTGTGTTTGTTGGCCTACTGAGTTTGGTCAGTCAAGAAAACAGGACTACCATTACATTAATGTAAACATATCCACACTTTCCCAGGGTTAATTGACCTGTTAGGGTTAGATGTTGACACTATCATTATTGAGGCTATCACTTAAATGGTAGAAATCAGTCGTACATTTCCACCTCCGGGTTTAATGAAGTCTGTTTAAGTGAAATGGATTTCACTGATAGCATTTTATGCAGAATGGAATAGAACAAGTTAGAAAATCATAATTCTTACATGCTTTAACCTCATTGGACTCTTCTGGAAGTACTTCTTTCTTTAAAATGAAACACACTTGGACTGAAACTATTGAACTTTATGTTTCAGTTTTGTTTTATACTATACTATAATTAACAAGGGTAATCCGATTAGTTTTCTATACATTAGTGTACCCACTAATATAACTGTTAACATTTTTTTCATGCCCTTGGGCCTCTTGTTTGCATCAAAATTATACTCAAATATTATATTAACTACTGTTTCTTGTTGATGATATAGTTGAAGGTGTACAGCATGCACCTAACTATTTTTAATATACTTGACTTTTAATTTGTCTGCTTTTTGTGGAAATTTCATTTGCTTTTAAATCAACCTGGTTTTAGTCTATAACCATCAGATAGTGGGCTTTTCAAATCACTTCTCAGTCCCTGCTTTGTCTGTCCATTCACCCATCCATCAGTCTATCCCATATTATTTTCTTTTCCTTTTTTGTTACTGCTATTATTATATATCATTATTATTATCATCTTATAGTTTTTAAATAAGAAATCATGATAAGAAAATAGGAAATATCTACCTTTAAATGAAGTATTAAAATAATATGCAAATATTTACTGTTAGATAATAAAAAATCTGAGTAAATGAGGAGTTTTTTTATACAACAAAGTTTTACATATATGTGTTATTATTTTTTTAAGCAAGTCATATATAAGTTATGAAGTGCCCTTGTCTATAATCTTATATACCTCTGTATGATACATGTTTTCTCTTTGTTTTCTTTGTTTACAGTTGCATGTATTTATTATTTCCTGTATGTCTGATGTCCCAGTTTGTATGATACTCCTGTATGTCTGATGTCCCAGTTTGTATGATACTCCTGTATGTCTGATGTCCCAGTTTGTATGATACTCATGTCTGTATGAATTGCCCCAGTATATATGATGCCGTGGTTTGTATAAATCCAGCCCTGGTATGTTAGATACCCTGATTTGTATGAAAAACTGCAATATAAATTCAATATCCATTCAAGTATTCATTAATTCAGTGATGCACTGATATACACATATGCTGTCTTAAGATATGATGCCCTGGTGTGTATGATGTAATGCCCTGGTGTGTATGATGTGATGCCCTGGTATGTGTGATGTCCTGGTATGTATGATGTGATGCCCTGTTGTGTATGATGTGATGCCCTGGTATGTATGATGTAATGTCCTGGTGTGTATGATGTGATGTCCTGGTGTGTATGATGTGATGCCCTGTTGTTTATGATGTGATGCCCTGTTGTGTATGATGTGATGTCCTGGTGTGTATGATGTGATGTCCTGGTGTGTATGATGTGATGCCCTGTTGTGTATGATGTGATGCCCTGTTGTGTATGATGTGATGCCCTGGTGTGTATGATGTGATGCCCTGTTGTGTATGATGTGATGTCCTGGTGTGTATCATGTGATGCCCTGTTGTGTACGATGTGATGCCCTGTTGTGTACGATGTGATGCCCTGTTGTGTACCATGTGATGCCCTGTTGTGTTTGATGTGATGCCCTGTTGTGTATGATGTGATGCCCTGGTGTGTATTATGTGATGTCCTGGTGTGTATGATGTGATGCCCTGTTGTGTATGATGTGATGCCCTGGTGTGTATTATGTGATGTCCTGGTGTGTATGATGTGATGCCCTGTTGTGTATGATGTGATGTCCTGGTGTGTGTGATGTGATGTCCTGGTGTGTATGATGTGATGTCCTGGTGTGTGTGATGTGATGTCCTGGTGTGTGTGATGTGATGTCGTGGTGTGTATGATGGCCTGGTTTGTATTTTGCCTTAATTGATATGATACAATTAGTTACAAATGAATGTTTCACAAGTTACTGCTTGTCTGTTTTACTATTGTTAGATATCACACCTGTAATATATTTATAATTTTGTAATTGGTGTTGATTTCAGGATTTATGAATTGGATTATCTGCCATTTGATGTGTGATTGGAAGGGAGAGAGATTGCTATGTGATGAACAAGTACGAAATTCTGGGAGTAGTTGGTGAAGGTAAGTACTGAAGATCTCTTGTTACATTTCTACTGTACAGCAATGACAAACTTGAGGTTTGCTATGTATATATACATTTCAACCATCATCAATATAAAATTAGAACAATTGGAGACTCTTACAAGAATGTAGAAGAATGGCGGTTTATGTTTATTTATTTTTAAATTGGCTACATTTTTGTTGTCATTCTGGAGATGGGCTCTTGTTTGCCAGAACTTAAAGGCTTTGGTTAGTGAGGGAAAATTACAGTCTGTTTGAATTACTGGTGATATCTACAGCACAGCTGATACAGAACAGATTTTTCATGACTATGGTTTGTAATCCCAATGTTACATTCTGATACAGATGCCTACTACTGGCTGTCAATAAAAATTACTGCACAATAGTAACACAGATATTTCGATTATTAAATTGTGGATCAATTGTAACCTAATGTCACATTTTTATTCTGTGTAGACCTCCTGGTCTTTGTAGTTTGAAGTTCTGATGTAAAATAATACTACAACAAGAAACCTGTATTGATTTGTGATTTCGAAGTGTCTACTGATACCCAGTCACAAGGTGATTGGTTAGGAATTAAGAAGTCTTTATCAACAAGAGACAGCTTTAACCAGTTAGACCGATATACTGTGTTATTACATTGATTAATGTCTATCATTTACATAAAGAATTTCACCACTACTTCCAGTAATTGCCTACAAACAGCTGTATTAAGTTCTGTCAAAATCAATTAGGCATTTGGTGTGAGTGAATACAACAAGATTATTGACAACCAATGGCTTCAGATATCTAAACTAAATGCTTCCGATATCTACACTAAAGTCTTGTGATATCTACACTAAATTTTTGTGATAACTATATTAAATGCTTGAGATATCTACACTAGAGACTTGAGATATCTATACTAAAGACTTGAAATATCTACATGAAAGGCTTGAGATATCTGCACTAAAGGTTTGAAATATTCACACTAAAAGTTTTAGATATCCACATTAAAGGTATGAGATATCCACAATAATAACCTAAGATATCAATATTAAATGCTTGAGATATCTATTCTGAAATTCTAAGATATATATATACTGAAGACTTGAGATATTGATCTTCAGTGATTGAAAGTGTAATTATTTATTATGTATCACACTCATCGGCATTAGAGATAAGTAATTTTATGTAAACAAAACCTGATCTAGCATTCAGGTTTAAAGTTATGTGCGTTTCATTCCTGGTGAAATAAAGATATAAATAACTGTCTGCATTGAGCTGAATTTACTTGGTAACAGGAGGGATGTGCTCTTCAAAAAACTAGTAGACATGCTCTCACAACTTTTCAAACTTTAATCATAAATTCAATGTTTACATAAACATGTATAGATCCAATTCACGCATGGCTTATTGCTGTAACTACCAAAAGGAAATGAAAATCAGTTAAAACTGAGAACGTCAGATATATTTCTATCACACAAAATATGATGTAACATTTTAAACTTTATCTTAAATCTCCTGGCAGGATGATGAGTTGGCCCCTGTTCCATGAAATACTAGTAAATTAAATCTATCCTCCTCACATAGTAAACCAGTCCTTCTCCATCACATATTGATTCAGTCCTTCCCCATCACATAGTAAACCTGTCCTTCCCCATCACATAGTGATTCAGTCCTTCCCCATCACATAGTAAACCAGTCCTTCCTCATCACATAGTAAACCAGTCCTTCCCCATCACATAGTGATTCAGTCCTTCCCCATCACATAGTAAACCAGTCCTTCCCCATCACAAAGTAAACCAGTCCTTCCTCATCACATTGTAAACCAGTCCTTCCCCATCACATAGTGATTCAGTCCTTCCTCATCACATTGTAAACCAGTCCTTCCCCATCACATAGTGATTCAGTCCTTGCCCATCACATAGTGATTCAGTCCTTGCCCATCACATAGTAAACCAGTCCTTCCCCATCACATAGTGATTCAGTCCTTCCCCATCACATAGTGATTCAGTCCTTGCCCATCACATAGTGATTCAGTCCTTGCCCATCACATAGTAAACCAGTCCTTGCCCATCACATAGTGATTCAGTCCTTGCCCATCACATAGTAAACCAGTCCTTCCCCATCACATAGTAGTGTTTGTCTGGGTTAGGGAGAGGTGATTTGTCTGGACAGAATGAGGTAGTTTGTCTGGACAGAATGAGGTAGTTTGTCTGGGTTAGGGAGAGGTGATTTGTCTGGATAGAGTGAGGTGGTTTGTCTGGGTTAGGGAGAGGTGATTTGTCTGGGTTAGTGGTTTGTCTGGACAGAGTGAGGTGGTTTGTCTGGGTTAGGGAGAGGTGATTTGTCTGGATAGAGTGAGGTGGTTTGTCTGGATAGAGTGAGGTGGTTTGTCTGGATAGAGTGAGGTGGTTTGTCTGGACAGAGTGAGGTGGTTTGTCTGGGTTAGGGAGAGGTGATTTGTCTGGATAGAGTGAGGTGGTTTGTCTGGACAGAGTGAGGTGGTTTGTCTGGTTAGAGTGAGGTGGTTTGTCTGGTTAGAGTGAGGTGGTTTGTCTGGGTTAGGGAGAAGTGGTTTGTCTGGATAGAGTGAGGTGGTTTGTCTGGGTTAGAGAGAAGTGTTTGTCTGGACAGAGTGAGGTGGTTTGTCTGGGTTAGGGAGAGGTGTTTGTCTGGGTTAGGGAGAGGTGATTTGTCTGGGTTAGGGAGAAGTGTTTGTCTGGACAGAGTGAGGTGGTTTGTCTGGACAGAGTGAGGTGGTTTGTCTGGGTTAGGGAGAGGTGGTTTGTCTGGATAGAGTGAGGTGATTTGTCTGGATAGAGTGAGGTGGTTTGTCTGGGTTAGGGAGAGGTGGTTTGTCTGGACAGAGTGAGGTGGTTTGTCTGGATAGAGTGAGGTGATTTGTCTGGATAGAGTGAGGTGATTTGTCTGGGTTAGGGAGAAGTGGTTTGTCTGGATAGAGTGAGGTGGTTTGTCTGGACAGAGTGAGGTGGTTTGTCTGGGTTAGGGAGAGGTGGTTTGTCTGGGTTAGGGAGAGGTAGTTTGTCTGGGTTAGGGAGAGGTGGTTTGTCTGGGTTAGGGAGAGGTAGTTTGTCTGGGTTAGGGAGAGGTGGTTTGTCTGGGTTAGGGAGAGGTGGTTTGTCTGGGTTAGGGAGAGGTGATTTGTCTGGATAGAGTGAGGTGGTTTGTCTGGACAGAGTGAGGTGGTTTGTCTGGGTTAGGGAGAGGTGGTTTGTCTGGACAGAGTGAGGTGGTTTGTCTGGGTTAGGGAGAGGTGATTTGTCTGGACAGAATGAGGTAGTTTGTCTGGACAGAATGAGGTAGTTTGTCTGGACAGAGTGAGGTGGTTTGTCTGGACAGAGTGAGGTGGTTTGTCTGGGTTAGGGAGAGGTGTTTGTCTGGGTTAGAGAGAAGTGTTTGTCTGGATAGAGTGAGGTGATTTGTCTGGACAGAGTGAGGTGGTTTGTCTGGATAGAGTGAGGTGGTTTGTCTGGACAGAGTGAGGTGGTTTGTCTGGGTTAGGGAGAGGTGGTTTGTCTGGACAGAGTGAGGTGGTTTGTCTGGGTTAGGGAGAGGTGATTTGTCTGGACAGAGTGAGGTAGTTTGTCTGGGTTAGGGAGAGGTGATTTGTCTGGATAGAGTGAGGTGGTTTGTCTGGGTTAGGGAGAGGTGTTTGTCTGGGTTAGAGAGAGGTGATTTGTCTGGGTTAGGGAGAAGTGTTTGTCTGGATAGAGTGAGGTGGTTTGTCTGGACAGAGTGAGGTGGTTTGTCTGGGTTAGGGAGAAGTGTTTGTCTGGATAGAGTGAGGTGATTTGTCTGGACAGAGTGAGGTGGTTTGTCTGGACAGAGTGAGGTGGTTTGTCTGGGTTAGGGAGAGGTGTTTGTCTGGATAGAGTGAGGTGGTTTGTCTGGGTTAGGGAGAGGTGATTTGTCTGGACAGAGTGAGGTGGTTTGTCTGGGTTAGGGAGAAGTGTTTGTCTGGATAGAGTGAGGTGATTTGTCTGGGTTAGGGAGAGGTGTTTGTCTGGATAGAGTGAGGTGGTTTGTCTGGGTTAGGGAGAAGTGTTTGTCTGGATAGAGTGAGGTGGTTTGTCTGGGTTAGGGAGAGGTGATTTGTCTGGACAGAGTGAGGTGGTTTGTCTGGACAGAGTGAGGTGGTTTGTCTGGGTTAGGGAGAGGTGTTTGTCTGGATAGAGAGAGGTGATTTGTCTGGGTTAGGGAGAGGTGTTTGTCTGGATAGCGTGAGGTGGTTTGTCTGGGTTAGGGAGAGGTGGTTTGTCTGGACAGAGTGAGGTGGTTTGTCTGGGTTAGGGAGAGATGTTTGTCTGGATAGAGTGAGGTGATTTGGCTGGTTAGGGAGAGTGATTTGTCTGTATAAGAAGAAGATATATATAATTCCAGTCCAATGTCTATTGACTGTTGAGTGATGACCATGGTAGGATCAAACAGGAAGTATTATCACTACATTATATCATTTCTGATGAATATTTCTGTCATTTCACAGAAAGGATTATATTTGTTAGTTATATGTCTGTCTCCCAGCACTCGTCCCCACACAAGCAGGCCATGGAATTCCTCTTCATGTGCAAAGGTATTACCATGTAAATGTTGTGGGCCCCCCTGCTAAGTCACCACTTTGTTCCAAATACCTTTCTGACAGTCATGTCACTTGTTTGGTGATATTGAAATCAATTTGATGTTAATATCCTTTGATATTCTGATTTACCAATAATGTTTGAAATCCTTTTAAACAGAATCTTTAAACAGAATTAATAGTACATTAAGTTATAGTTATGCACAATTAATGAAACAATATTTTCATTTTTATGATAATGTGATCCTCGGATCTGGTCCCAATAATGTACATTCAATTGCATTGTTTTGTACCAAGTTGGTATTGTGTGTTCAAGTCATTGAACTGCAGTGTATGTAATTGAGGTTCAATGCACAACATACAAGAGCCTTTGGGTGTACCATCAGTTATGTTTGTTAGTGTAAACAATAGCTATTGAAGAGCAGACAGTTATTGAACAATCAAGAAATCAACATGACTTGTTGGTGACTGTCACTAGGGACGTCAATTTCACAGCCTGGTGAGATGTCCATTTCAGTTATATGGGACAAGTTCATTATACAGGTGTAATTGTCATACATATGAATATATAATTGATTGTGATTTAGTTCTGCTAGGGACCGAAGTCAACACTAAACCTGGATATTTGGATAGTCTGATGCTCTTTCTAAATAACAAGGGAGGGACTCCTGTTTCACTGAGTTGGTAGGAAGTTATCAGAGTCCTCTGGTTTAATTTCTGATTCTTTGTAGAGAGATTTCTAGACAATTTAACATAACAAGTGGTTAAGGTAAGAATGCAGGTGCATTTCAAGGCATTTAAATCATCTAAGAGTAATCAGTTTTCCAAATAATTTCCTGATAAGAATAAGCTTACATCAAAACCTGATAGGCTTTAAAAATCATTTGTTGAAATGCAGTCATTTGAAATACGTAGCTACTAATTTGTTTGGGGAAAACTTTGAACTTGAACACAATAGAAAACTGAAAATTAACTGTCACGAAACATACAACGACCTTGTACACACATGTGCCTAAAACATTTCATATTGTAATTTTTTTAAGAATGTGTGGATGGTGTTTTTATTTATTATTATTTAGACTATATGAATTATGCATTTTTTTTTCAGATATTCATGGATAAATTGACTTGAATTAAATACTTTTTTTTAAAATCCTGTATGACAAATACACTGAAACTTTGTTATAACACGTTATGATGTAAGTTAAGTGGTAACTGTCACGTCTGAAAATCAATATAGTGTGTTACAGTACATAAATACTATTTCCAACAAGATCAGGATTTCTTTTGTTGATAAATCTTTGAGTTCAACTTGAAAACTTTTAATTTGTAAATTTAGGTAAATGAAAGTTTATTGGTATATTAATCAGTTTGTGTATTTGGATTTTGTAGGGGCCTGTGGTCTATAACACCTATATAAGTATTTGTATTTTACAGAGGTCTACAGTCTATATTAATCAGTTTGTATATTTATATTTTGTAGGGGCCTGTGGTCTATAACACCTATATAAGTATTTGTATTTTACAGAGGTCTACAGTCTATATTAATCAGTTTGTGTATTTGGATTTTGTAGGGGCCTGTGGTCTATAACACCTATATAAGTATTTGTATTTTACAGAGGTCTACAGTCTATATTAATCAGTTTGTGTATTTGGATTTTGTAGGGGCCTGTGGTCTATAACACCTATATAAGTATTTGTATTTTACAGAGGTCTACAGTCTATATTAATCAGTTTGTATATTTATATTTTGTAGGGGCCTATGGTGTGGTTCTAAAATGCCGGCACAAAGTAAGTAATTCCTATGACTACGTATATATGGTTCTGCACATGACCTATATGGTTCTGTAGGTGACCTTTGTGGTTCTATAGGTGACCTTTGTGGTTCAATAGGTGACCATTGAGGTTCTGTAGGTGACCCTTGTGGTACTGTACATGAGATTTGTGGTACTGCACATGAGATTTGTGGTACTGCACATGACCTTTGTGGTTCTGCACACGACCTTTGTGGTTCTATAGCTAACATTTGTGGTTCTCTAAGTGAACTTTCTGGTTCTGTTTCTGACATTTGTGGTTCTCTAAGTGAACTTTCTGGTTCTGTTTCTGACATTTGTGGTTCTCTAAGTGAACTTTCTGGTTCTGTTTCTGACTTTTATGGTTCTCTAAGTGAACTTTCTGGTTCTGTTTCTGACATTTGTGGTTCTCTAAGTGAACTTTCTGGTTCTGTTTCTGACTTTTATGGTTCTCTACGTGAACTTTCTGGTTCTGTTTCTGACTTTTATGGTTCTCTACGTGAACTTTCTGGTTCTGTTTCTGACATTTGTGGTTCTCTAAGTGAACTTTCTGGTTCTGTTTCTGACTTTTGTGGTTCTCTAAGTGAACTTTCTGGTTCTGTTTCTGACTTTTGTGGTTCTCTAAGTGAACTTTCTGGTTCTGTTTCTGACATTTGTGGTTCTCTAAGTGAACTTTCTGGTTCTGTTTCTGACTTTTGTGGTTCTCTAAGTGAACTTTCTGGTTCTATTTCTGACTTTTGTGGTTCTCTAAGTGAACTTTCTGGTTCTATTTCTGACTTTTGTGGTTCTCTATGCTATTCTTACTAACATCAGTGACTAATATTTAAACCTTAACAAAATTACTCCAAACAATGAAGTTTCTTCCAAGATTTTGTATTTGACAATTTTATTTATAACTTGTTTTAAAACCCAGTGATCTCTGTAATCAAAACCATAATGTTGTAACTAGGAAATAAGAAAATGACAATAAATATATAAGCCTTGTACCATGATGTGTCTCCACAGCCTTGTACCATGATGTGTTTCCTCATTCTTGTACCATGTTGTGTGTCCTCAACCTTGTACGATGTTGTGTCTTCTCAGCCGAGTTACTTGTTGTGTCTCCTCAGCATTGAACCATGTTATGTTTCCTCAGCATTTAAACATTATGTGTCTCCTCAGCCTTAACATGTTGTATCAGTTCAGCCTTGTAAGATGTTGTCTTCTCAGCCTTGTAAAGTCAGTGAAAATGGCTAACGCAAGCTTTGATCATACACAACATTGATTTTACAAGACTTGCTAGCAATGGATGCACTTACATCTTAAGATTGATAGATGTTAGAATACAGCTATTAATTATTCAAGACAATTAAGATTCCATAGTGCATGTTAGCTCGTGGTTTTTACAGGTTTGTTTGTCGGACAGGAAGCGTGTGTTGACATTATACATCGGTACAGAGAGCATATCAGACACCAATCTAATTGTTAATTATATATTACTAAACATGTAGTAGGAGTGTAACGGGACTAATACATGACGTCATCATTAGACCTGATGTGTGGAATGTTTTTCTTCCTGATCATGCACTAATTAGGGAAAGGGCCTTTTTATCTCATTTGGGAGGAAATCAGTTAGAAGGAAACGTTAAGGAGCTGGAGTAGACTATATATTTTGGGAATAGGCTATATAATGTATTTCAAAATGAACGAAATTGGGAATGGATATTTTGGCCATATAGAGCCCCCCAGAAAGAGGGCTGTGTTATCATATGATATTCTTTACACCAGGAAGTGAATAGACACTTTATTTCTACCTATTTCCCAGCGGACCATAAAATCCATGTCACATTGCCTTAAGGTCCACAGTGATGATATCATATTGTAACTAATGTTTCCTGTGTAACTTGTCTAGTTATAACCATCCTGTACCATCATACAGTGATGATATCATAATGTAACTAATGTTTCCTGTGTAACTTGTCTAGTTATAACCATCCTGTACCATCATACAGAGACAGTATCATAATGTAACTAATGTTTCCTGTGTAACTTGTCTAGTTATAACCATCCTGTACCATCATACGGAGACAGTATCATAATGTAACTAATGTTTCCTGTGTAACTTGTCTAGTTATAACCATCCTGTACCATCATACAGAGACAGTATCATAATGTAACTAATGTTTCCTGTGTAACTTGTCTAGTTATAACCATCCTGTACCATCATACAGAGACAGTATCATAATGTAACTAATGTTTCCTGTGTAACTTGTCTAGTTATAACCATCCTGTACCATCATACAGAGACAGTATCATAATGTAACTAATGTTTCCTGTGTAACTTGTCTAGTTATAACCATCCTGTACCATCATACAGAGACAGTATCATAATGTAACTAATGTTTCCTGTGTAACTTGTCTAGTTATAACCATCCTGTACCATCATACAGTGATGATATCATAATGTAACTAATGTTTCCTGTGTAACTTGTCTAGTTATAACCATCCTGTACCATCATACAGTGATGATATCATAATGTAACTAATGTTTCCTGTGTAACTTGTCTAGTTATAACCATCCTGTACCATCACACAGTGATGATATCATAATGTAACTAATGTTTCCTGTGTAACTTGTCTAGTTATAACCATCCTGTACCATCACACAGTGATGATATCATAATGTAACTAATGTTTCCTGTGTAACTTGTCTAGTTATAACCATCCTGTACCATCATACAGTGATGATATCATAATGTAACTAATGTTTCCTGTGTAACTTGTCTAGTTATAACCATCCTGTACCATCACACAGTGATGATATCATAATGTAACTAATGTTTCCTGTGTAACTTGTCTAGTTATAACCATCCTGTACCATCACACAGTGGTGATATCATAATGTAACTAATGTTTCCTGTGTAACTTGTCTAGTTATAACCATCCTGTACCATCATACAGTGATGATATCATAATGTAACTAATGTTTCCTGTGTAACTTGTCTAGTTATAACCATCCTGTACCATCATACAGAGACAGTATCATAATGTAACTAATGTTTCCTGTGTAACTTGTCTAGTTATAACCATCCTGTACCATCATACAGAGACAGTATCATAATGTAACTAATGTTTCCTGTGTAACTTGTCTAGTTATAACCATCCTGTACCATCACACAGTGATGATATCATAATGTAACTAATGTTTCCTGTGTAACTTGTCTAGTTATAACCATCCTGTACCATCACACAGTGGTGATATCATAATGTAACTAATGTTTCCTGTTTTTCGTTTACTTTCACCTGATTGTGTTATTATAACAATTGACATGTAAGAATTATCACCTGTTTTGAGTGTCTTTTCAAAACCTTCTATTTACTTAGATACGAGGACAATTAGAAGTGCAAGTTTATCACTGACTGATATCGTTGTTTGATCAGGGCAACCTGTCTATTTGTTGTGCACTTGTACCACATGTCAAGATCCTCTCGTAAAGTAGATCTTGGTCACCCATCACCTTTGTTCGTTACAGATTAAATGCTTGTGATAAAGGTTTATATCATTGTGGGACAAGTAAATATGAGATGGAAAAGAAAAATGTTTTATGATTGTGATACTGTTTATATCTATCTGTTAACAGTCATGAAGGACTGATCTCAGTGTCACTGAGAAATATAGGATTATTGTTTTTGTGTCATATGTTTGGTAATTGCTGACTATAATATGATGATATGATTATCTTGAATTGCCTTCTCATGTTCAGTGTTAGAAATTGTATTTAGAAAAGGGTTGAAAATCAGCTGTATGTTTGAAATCTGTCTTGCTGTAAAAGAAGTGTTAGAGGTATTAAGTAGAAGAATGAAAACAATGTGTCTGAACCAGTCATGGACATGTGGACCCAGGAATTATGTAAACATAGGTCTCTATCGCCTGACAAGTTAAAACCGACCCCTGTTTTCCCATTATCACCTTCTGTATGTTGACATTTTAAAAGGCCTGTTGTTCCACTGTTAGTATGTAAAGTAGTTTTATCAGAATTTTAACTTGCTATGAATGATATCATTGAGTTAACATTATGGTTATAGGTTTGTCAAATTAGTCACCTCAACTTGGTATCTGATATATACTGCCCAGTCTATCATGGAGTCCCTAACTTTTTATACAACTCTCCCTTTAGTTACAGTTATCATAGAATCCCTGGCCCTGATTTTCTATTCAAGTTATCATAAAATCCACGTCCGTGGACAATGTATAACAGTTTACACAACTATTCATCTGGTTATGACTGAGTCAGCAGTCTTGTTACAAGCTGTTTATTGTAGGAAGATTGTGAATACTGACGGGAACACTTACTTCAGTTAGATCACTTAAGGGCTTTTTGGGGCTGATAATGGTTTCCATTCCCTATTGAAATTATTTCATATTTCAGACAGATTGCCAAAATTTGGAATTAACTTCTAAAAAAATCACCAACTTTCATTACAAAATGAGGCAAAAATATTCCATCACAAACCAGTGAATAAGGTCTGCATTTACCTAAATAGGGGTCAGCAAGGTTCAATATATATTTTTTGCCCTCAATACTGTTTTGTGTTAAGGTTGAATTTTTTTACACAGATTTTCCATGAAGTCATTTCCGTAGTGCTTTGTAACCAATGTGTTATGATAGGTATCAATTCTAGACTGTGTATATTACTACTACAAGCTGCTAGAAACAGGTACATAATTCTATGTTCACAAATTAGGTTACCGTTAGTATGAATGTATTGATTGTTGTAGATAAGTAACTTGTCAATCGACAGGTACAACAGGTGTATTAGGTTTACCTGTCCTTCTACTATAATCACAGTCTATAATTATGTTCATATGATATCACTGCTAATTCATGTGTTTTTTTCTTGTAAACGATTTTAAACTGATTGATCGTATTTACTGGAAAGGTAACTTTTTTGTATTTTAATACCAATCATAGGCACTGATTATCTACACACAGATAATACCATGAAGTTGTATCGGTG